ATATTTTTAAAGTCCATGAGTAAAAAATTCATGGAAAGGCGTATTATGAAAAGTCTGCTTGAATTTCAGATTTTTCACATCAAAATTAACTTCATTTTCCACAATTTTTGGAAATAGTCTTACATAATTAAGATATTACAAGATTATGTTGTTGGCTTATTATTATATTATCTATATGAATTTTATTATGTGGAATTTTAAGAGTAGTTTGGGTTCTTTACATTGCTTCTCAGGCCTAAGAACAACAGATGCTATATTTTGATGTATGATACTGACAGTCTTAAAAGCACAATAAACTACTTTCTGACTGTGCGGAGTTGTAGCGACAGGACAGGAAAAAGTTTGCCATTCTGTTCCTACTAGTGACATCTTCTGTTTGTGCAGCTGTTGACTATAGCAGCTTCTCTCTCTCTCTAAGTCTTTTTTTTTTCCCCTTTCTGAAAACAAAGGATCATTTCAGTGTTTCTGAGTTTTATTGTTGAACTTTGGTATCTAGAATTGCATTTAGAATAGAAGCCAATGTAAATTTTAATATTTAAAGGTATGTGCTGTGTTTACTTGCAGACATCAGTTTAAAATTATGCGTAAAACCTTTTGAAAGGTAGGCTGCCTGAGCTCATAAAGTACAAATGAAATTAGGAGTAAAAGATTATTGCAACCTTTGACCTGAACAAGAATTTGAAGTGATTTATTAATGATATTAATATGGTTTCTTTCTTCATTTTAGACTGAGAATTTGATGTACTTGTATTCATTAGTGTGTCCAGATTTATAAAACTTATGAATTTTTTTTTAAGATTGATTCATTTATTTGAAGGGCAGAGTTATAGAGGGAGAGACAGGGAGAAGAAGCGTGCGAACATATGAGTGAGCGTCCATCCTCTGGTTTGCTCCTCAGATGTCTGCAACAGCTGGGGTTGAGCCAGGCAGAAGCCAGAAATCCATCTGGGTCTCCCACATGGGTGCAGGGCCTCAGGCTCTTTGACCGGGAGCTGGATTGGAAGTGGAGCAGCGGGGACTTGAACTGGTGGCTAGATGGGATTGCGGGTGACAACTTTACCCACTGCACCACAACGCCAGCCCCGTTCAGAGAGTTTTTGTATGTTCCAAAGGACTTCTGATTTTTAAAAGAAATCTTAAAAATTATTTTTAAAATGTAATTTAAGCCTCTTTTCTTACACAGATGTATGAACTGTATAAACAAGTTACCGGCCGGTGCCATGGCTCAATAGGCTAATCCTCTGCCTTGTGGCGCCGGCATACCGGGTTCTAGTCCCGGTCGGGGCGCCGGATTCTGTCCCGGTTGCCCCTCTTCCAGGCCAGCTCTCTGCTGTGGCCAGGGAGTGCAATGGAGGATGGCCCAAGTACTTGGGCCCTGCACCCCATGGGAGACCAGGAGAAGCACCTGGCTCTTGCCACCGGATCAGCACGGTGCGCCTGCCACAGTGGCCATTGGAGGGTGAACCAATGGCAAAAGGAAGACCTTTCTCTCTCTCTCTCTCTCACTATGTAACTCTGCCTGTCAAAAAAAAAAAAAAAAAAAAAAGTTACCATTACGTGTGCGCTATTGCTGAAAGGTGTTTTTTTTTTTCCTGACTGGAGAAGCATTCATTAGCTTGATATTAAATTATAAATAAAGTTTTGGGTCCCAGTGAATACCACTTCAGATTTGGTTCATGCAAGTATAAACTTCAAAATTAAAGGACGTAGGAGGATTAATGAGTGAATATTGCTATATTGTTCATATTTTGTCTCTTCCATCCCTTTCCCCTCCTTTTAACAAAGATTTTTGAATATTTACAATGAATTGTTTTTTGAAAATTTAATTTTTCTAGGTATGTATTGAGTGTATCAGGTCTTTAGATTTTCAGATTTATTACTAACCACTTTTGTGAAACATGTCTAAAATTTATTCTGAAAACTATGACAACTTCTTGTATAAATGTAGTGAGTTTGTTGATGAAAAGTTCTAGTTAGGACCATTGCTGTTACAGTAATTGTTTTGAGTAATTAGAAAATTGGCTTGCATTTTACTTACTGGTTTCATTAAAAAGTTTAATTTTATTTACACTATTTATGTTTTTTTTTAACTTATATTTAGCAAATATAAATTTCCAAAGTACAGCTTATGGATTACAATGGCTTCCCCCCCCCAAAAAAAAAAACTTCCCTCCCACCTGCAATCCTCCCAACTCCTGCTCCCTCTCCCATCCGATTCACATCAAGATTCATTTTCAATTATCTTTATATACAGAAGATCAATTTAGTATATATTAAGTAAAGATTTCAACAGTTTGCACCCATACAGAACATAAAGTGTAAAATACTATTTGAGTACTGGTTATAGCATTAATTCACATTGAACAACACATTAAGGACAGAGATCCTACATGAGGAGTAAGTGCACAGTGACTCCTGTTGTTGACTTAACAAATTGACACTCTTGTTTCTGGCATCAGTAATCTCCGTAGGCTCTTGTCATGAGTTGCCAAGGCTATGGAAGCCTTTTGAGTTTGCCGACTCCGATCTTAATTTAGACAAGGTCATAGTCAAAGTGGAGGTTCTCTCCTCCCTTCAGAGAAAGGTACCTCTTTCTTTGATGGCCCGTTCTTTCTATTAGGATCTCACAGAGATCTTTCATTTAGGTCCTCTTTCTCTCTCTCTCTCTCTCTCTCTCTCTTTTTTTTTTTTTTTTTTTTTTTGCCAGTGTCTTGGCTTCCATGCCTAAAATACTCTCATGGGCTCTTCAGCCAGATCTGAATGCCTTAAGGGCTGATTCTGAGGCCAGAGTGCTCTTTAGGACATCTGCCAGTCTATGAGTCTGCTGTGCATCCCACTTCCCATGTTGGGTCGTTTTCTCCCTTTTTTTATTCTATCAGTTAGTATTAGCAGACACTAGTCTTGTTTATGTGATCCCTTTGACTCTTAGACCTATCAGTATGATCGATTGTGAACTGAAACTGATCACTTTGATTAGTGAGATAGCATTGTTACATGCCATCTTGATGGGATTGAATTGGAATCCCCTGGTATGTTTCTAACTCTACCATTTGGGGCAAGTCAGTTTGAGCATGTCCCAAACTGTACATCTCCTCCCTCTCTTATTCCCACTCTTATATTTAACAGTGATCACTTTTCAGTTAAATTTAAACAACTAAGAATAATTGTGTGTTAATTACAGAGTTCAACCAATAGTATTAAGTGGAACAAAAAAATACTAAAAGGGATAAAGTATTAAGTTGTTCATCAACAGTCAGGATAAGGGCCGATGAAGTCACTCTTTCTCATAGTGTCCATTTCATTTCAACAGGTTTCCTTTTTGGTGCTCAGTTAGTTGTTACCGATCAGGGAGAACATATGATATTTGTCCCTCTGGGGCTGGCTTTTTTTCATTCAGCATGATGTGCTCCAGATTCCTCCATTTTGTTGCAAATGACCGGATTTCATTTTTTTTTCTTTTTTTTTTTCTGCTCTATAGTATTCTATAGAGTACATATCCCATAATTTCTTTATCCAGTCTACTGTTGATGGGCATTTAGGTTGATTCTATGTCTTAGCTATTGTGAATTGAGCTGCAATAAACATTAATGTGCAGACAGTTTGTTTGTTTGCCAATTTAATTTCCTTTGGGTAAATTCCAAGGAGTGGGATGGCTGGGTTGTATGGTAGGGTTCTATTCAGGTTTCTGAATATATTCAGGTTTTGAGAGGCAGAGAGGGAGATCTCCCAGCCACTGGTTTACTCTCCAATTGGCTGCAAAGGCTTGGTACAGGTTGGGCAAGAGCTGGGAACTCAATCCAGGTCTCCTGTGTGGGTGGTAGGAACCCAGTTACTGAAGCCATTACTGCTGTCTCCCAGAGTCTACATTAGCAGGGTGCTGGAGTGAGGAGCTAGAGCAAGGTATTCAACCCAGGTACTGCGATGTGAGTCTGTGGAGGTCATAACCGTTAGGCTAAATGCATGTCCCTTACTTGGTTTTTAACATTCTGCTTTTTTCCATTTAATATACTGAAAACCACATAAATCCCGTGTAGAGCTTAATGAATCGTGATTCATTAAAAAGTGAACACTTTGTCAGTTACACACACACACATACACACACACACATATGCACATACATACACGCATACACCTCTACCCCTGTTAAGAAACAGAGTTTTGCCAGTCATCCAGAAGTTTTCCAGGTTCCTCCAAGATACAGCTCTCTCTTTCCTTAGTGGTAACTCCTATCCTGACTTTTGTAGATCTTACTTGTTGCTCATACATGTATCCCTAAATACTGTAGTTTCTTATGTCTTCTAAATCTCTGTAGATGTATTATGAGACAAGGTGTAAAACATGAACTAAAATGGAGTACATGTTACGAATTTGTTTGCTGAGATGTCTGCTGGGAAACTAGTACTCATCACCCTGCTCCCGCCCCCCCCCCCCCCCCCCCCCCCCCCCCCGCCTCGTTTAACTGTGAGCCAGAAGTTTTTCCCCTAGTTTTTTTTTTTTCTTCCGTTCATCTTAAGATATTTTCCTTCCTATTAATTTAATGATACTAATCTAATTTCCTGAAATGGTCAGAAGTAGACTATTTTTTGGACTATTCAAACAAATATAATTATCCTTTAGAACTCCGTTTAATGCTTTTTTATCCCCCAAAGAAAATTAGCAAAAAGCACATTGTTTTGTCTGAATAGCCAGTTCTTTACTTCCAGCTTTATTTTTAGACCCTGAGGTATGACTTCCTTATACTCTTGATTGCTTTAACAGCTTTGATTACATAAGAAGTTATTTCATTGAAATATAGTAACTTTTGATACATTTTTCTTATTTTATTTGATGACTGTCTAAATAACTTGATCATTAAAGTTGACATTGTTATTCCTTTTGGATATTTTGTGAATACTGAGAAGTGACCTAATTACTATTTATAAAGACTATTCTGCTAATTTGTGAATTTATATTAAGTTGTTTGCTCATTTGTTATTAATCATTCTACCTTCTCTTTGAAGAATGTCAAGCTGTCAGCTGAGGTAGAGCCGTTTATTCCCCAGAAGAAGAATCCTGATACATTTATGATCCCTATGGCTCTCCCAAATGATAATGGAAGTGTTTCTGGTGTAGAACCAACTCCAATTCCAAGCTATCTGATTACTTGTTATCCATTTGTGCAGGAAAATCAGTCCAATAGGTAATTTCTTTATTATTATTTTATTGTGGAGTGGTGGGGAATATAAAAGTTGGCAGAGAATGCTTCTAAATTTTGTTCTTCTGTACCTGTAAACATGAATCGTCTCTGTTTATTTTCTAAGAGGAGTAAATAAAACCAAATGATGTGGAAATGTGAAAATTGTTTTTTCTTTAAATATTTACTTATTAATTGAAAGAGAGAGAGAGGGAGAGACAGAGAAAAGTTTTCCACCTGCTGGTTCACTCCCAAATGGCCACAATGGCTGGAGCTGGGCTGATCCGAAGCCAGGAGCTTCATCCAGGTCTCCCATGTGGGTGCAGGGGCCTAAGGACTTGGGCCATCTTCTACTGCTTTCCCAGGCCATAGCAGAGAGATGGCTTTGAAAAGCAGCAGCCGGGGCTCAAACCCGCGCCCATATGGGAATGCCGGCACTGCAGGTGGCAGCTTTACCTGCTATGCCACAGCACTGACCTTGAAAATTGTTAACATTGTTATCATTCTAAGAGGACATGGAGTTTTTTGGGTATGTCTCTTCTATTGCCATTGAAATATATTTGAAATAAATTGACTGAAAGGGAGGAATGAAGTATATAGAAAGAAATAAACAAAAACTCTTTTTAAGATTAGGTGTCTAATCTCATAATTGCCATGGTGGTCTCTGGCTTGAGAAGAAAATGTCAAGGCGTAGTCCTTAACTTTGAAGCTTTTGTGGGTAGTTAGCATGTTTCCAGACTCCAGTTTTAATTTGAAGTGTGTGCTGTAGTCTCACAATGATTTCACACAGTGCTTACGGTTCAGATAGTGTGTGACCTACTGGTTAAGAGTATATCTCGGGGCCGGCGCCACGGCTCACTAGGCTAATCCTCCACCTAGCGGCGCCGGCACACCGGGTTCTAGTCCCGGTCAGGGCGCCGGATTCTTTCCCGCTTGCCCCTCTTCCAGGCCAGCTCTGCTGTGGCCCGGGAGTGCAGTGGAGGATGGCCCAAGTGCTTGGGCCCTGCACCCCATGGGAGACCAGGTGAAGCACCTGGCTCCTGCCTTTGGATCAGCGCGGTGCGCCAGCCGCAGCACGCCAGCCGGGGCGGCCATTGGAGGGTGAACCAACGGCAAAAGGAAGACCTTTCTCTCTGTCTCTCTGTCTCACTGTCCACTCTGCCTGTCAAAAAAAAAAAAAAAAAAGAGTATATCTCGGCCAGCACCGCGGCTCACTAGGCTAATCCTCCACCTGCGGTGCCGGCACCCCGGGTTCTGGTCCCAGTTGGGGCGCCAGATTCTGTCCCGGTTGCTCTTCTTCCGGTCCAGCTCTCTCTGTGGTCCGGGAAGGCACTGGAGGATGGCCCAAGTGCTTGGGCCCTGCACCTGCATGGGAGACCAGGAAGAAGCACCTGGCTTCCTGGCTTAAGATTGGTGCAGTGCACCAGCTCTAGTGACCATTTGGAGGGTGAACCAACAGAAGGAAGACCTTTCTCTCTGTCCTCTGTCTCTCTCTTTCATTGTCTATAACTCTCTCTCACTGTCTAACTCTGCGTGGCAAAAAAAAAAAGTGTATCTCATGAAACACAGAATAGCCTTTCTGACCCTGCTTAGTTTGCCTGAGTGATTGCATTTCATTGATGTAGTTCCTTTTTTGAAGTATTGAAGTCCTTTCAACCTTTTTCAAGTTATGTTGCACAGAAAATTGTATTTTTCTGGCATTATGGGGTAAATGGATGAGGCAGGTGGTGACTTTAGGCTCAGCCCAACTATCCCCGAGGGCTGAGGCAATCAGTATTTCTACACAAATATAATACATTGTGTCAGTGCACATTTTTTGAGAAATTCTGGATGTATGATATGTGAGGCCATTGAACTACCTTCTCAGGTATTAAATATTCAAGTTAATATTGTGAGATTCTTAAAACAGAATCTTGGGATTGGATAAACAGTCCAAACTAAAGGATCCTTTTCAGTTGAAATTAACATTTATATTAAAAATCTTAGACCTGTTAATGTACAAGATGATTCATAGCCTTAATTTAATAGTACTGCTTTTCTGTTTGACAAAATGGCCAAGTGTACAGTATGATGTTTTTAAATATTTATTTATTTATTTGAAAGGCAGAATTACAGAGAAAGAGTTAGGGACACAGAGAAGGAGAGAGATCTTAACATATATTGACTCACTCCCCACATGGCCACAACTGTTGGGACTGGGCCAGGCTAAAGCCAGGAGCCTAGAGCTTCTTCTGAGTCTCCCTTGTGTTTGCAGGGGCCGAAGCACTTGGGAAATCTTCTGCTTTCCAAGGCACATTAGCAGGGAGCTGGATTGGAAGTGGAATAGTCAGGTCTTGAACCAGCACCCATATGGGATGCTGGTGTTGCAGGGGGTGGCTTTACCCGCTGTGCCACAGTGCAGACCCTGATAAGTTTGTTTTCTTGCCTTACCAAATAATCTTTGAGAATACATGAGTGAGACTGCAGATTAGTTTAAAATATTTTTAGAATTTTAAGAGATATTTTTCCATTTTGCTTTGTCACAAAATTATTGAATACTTTGTCACAGGAATATTGAAGGAAAACTCTGCTTCAACTCCCCCCAGCTCAAACCCCTCATTCATCAGCAGTGCTGTGCAGCAAGGGGATGCTGGGGCAGGAAGACTTGCTGGTTCTAATAGGAACCCTATTAGAAGAAGCTGTAATGCTGGAGATAAGATGTCAGTGGACAAGTTTTCTTTTTCTCTTCTTTTCCCTAGACCTGGAGTATTCTTTCATTGCTAAAGAAGGGAGCCAGGAAAACAGGTGGACTTTGCCAAGTGGTTAGGAAGGATGGGAAAGAGGAGGCCCTGGGGTTGAACAGAAAATGAGTTAGAGGAATTCAGTCACCCTGTGAAATGATGATCTTACACAATGATCACCTTGCTTTGCTTTTTGCAAGAGGCAGTCACAGTTGTTAGCATTGATGGGAACCTTGCACTGCCGTTGTTGTTGTTTGCTTACTCAGCAGCAAGATGTTTTAAGCAGAAGTTTCTTGAGAAGGCTGAGGGCAGAGTTACATACAAATAATAATAGTTTGTGGAATGCCATAAAACTCATCAGGTTGGATTCCTTTATACTGTCATTTAAATGTTTATTGCATGTACCTAATCTCTAATTCAAGCAAAGAAATTTGTAAGATGGTAATTTTGTGCCCTTTCCCAGACTTATGAAGCCACTGTTTGTTCTGTTTTTTATTAAACAAAGTTAAGAGATTTTGTTTGTTTTTAGACTTGTAAATAGATTTGTTCTTGTTTTATTTGGTTTTGCAGACAATTTCCTTTATATAACAATGATATACGATGGCAACAGCCCAATCCAAACCCCACTGGACCATACCTTGCCTACCCCATTATATCTGCTCAGCCACCTGTTTCGACAGAATATACATATTATCAGCTGATGCCAGCGCCATGTGCCCAAGTTATGGGTTTCTATCATCCTTTTCCTACACCTTACTCCAGCACCTTTCAAGCTGCAAATACTGTAAATGCTGTAACCACAGAATGCACTGAGCGTCCAAGTCAGCTTGGACAGGTCTTCCCGTTGTCCAGTCACCGAAGCAGAAACTGTAATAGAGGGCCAGTGGTACCAAAAGTAAGTGGCTGTTTTTGATTGGATTTTACATCTAATATTTCTTTGGTAATACTTGTGTAAGTGATGTATTTCTTGCATTGATTGACCTTTAATGCTGATTTTACTACAGAGCATTTCATTCACTAATATAGTATCAAGAGTATGTTATTTAAAAATAATTTTTTCTGTCTTGTTTATTGTTCCTTCACTTCTGATTGGTGATATGATTAAGTCATCTTTATGATCCTTCCAAGAACTTTACATAAACACAGTGCACAAGTATGTCTGAGTTATTTTAATTTAGTCATGAAAATTGCATGGTGACACCAACGTTAATAAATGGTTAGTGTGGATCCTATGCTACTTTGATTGAACAGCTCATGCACTTCAAGGTATTTTAGTGTTCAGATATCAGAAATGCACAGGAATAGCACTTTGTTTTGAGAGGTACTTTGCTATTACATGAATAAGGAGTCTCCTAAGGCTGGCGAAAGTGCAGATAGCATATGAAACCACGTTTATTCAGGGCCAGCCATTTAATTAAGTTTAAAAAACACACATATATAAGAGAAATTAAGGGTTATTGTAGGCTACTTTTTCATTGTGACCTTAATATTAAAGCTAATAAGAGGAAAAGCCATGTTTTTAGTCAGCACTTTTGAGCTCCTAGAAGACACGTATTATGCGTGTACCATCAAAGGATTGATGCTTTCCCTGCATTCCATTAGCCCAGCTTCTTTAGTGAAGGAAAAAAAAACTGTACTTCCTCTTCACATAATTTTTACAAATTAAAAAACAAATAAGCATCTGAGGTTATTTTGAGAAGTTTATAGTCGTTGTTCATGGAAGCTGTCTGAGTCAAGGGACATCCTTTGAGTCCTCTGAGAATGAGGAGGTAAGTACTGGAAGTCCGATAATAGTATATAGTTCCAGATGTTCAAGGAATGTAATTTCTCAGAATGCACTTCTAGTTTAAATTAGGAAGTTATAGAAGTTAAATTCAGCATTTTGTTTTATATATTGCTATTGAATGATGAACACTCATATTTTAAAAAGTCAAGGAAGGATCAGCTTTTATATATTTTCTTTCTGAACTCTGAAGCAGATTTTTTTGGACATTATTATTATGAAACTAAAATTTAGTATTGGGATTTCATAATCCTTTTTATTATCCTTTTAAATAAATGCATAGAACCCCACATATGATATGATTATACCCTTGTTATTTATTATTTATTAAGAAAATAAAAAGTGCAAGTAACAAAGGTGGATTATAGTTTATTTGTCATAGTAGTGTTAACAGCTATTAGAAAAATGTGTGTAAGTATGGGTATAATACTTTGCAGATAATTTCATGAAACACTAATAGTAACTTTTTCCCCACACCAAGTTAGAACATACATTTAATGTATTTTTTAAGTAAATGTGTATTTTATAGTGTTTGGCATACTGAATACTTTTTTTTTAAAATTTAATTTAAATCAGCAGCAGCTTTTACAACAGCACATAAAAAGCAAAAGACCGCTGGTGAAAAATGTAGCTACTCAGAAAGAAACAAATGCAATGGGTCCTGATAATCGATCAAAAATTGTGCTTTTGGTGGACGCTTCACAGCAAACTGGTAAGGCAGAGGTTCTTAAGTCACTGATTTTACCTTTTTTCATACATTAACTTTACAGTTGAACACTACCTTTCAGGATTCTAGACTTTTCATCCTTTGATTTGTCTTGCCATTTTGTGAAATTCTCTAGGAGGCATAAAACAATGTTCTTTCAACTTGCTTTCTGGTGTATGTACAATTTGGAGCAGAATTTGAGGTTCCTTTTGCCTTTGTAATAGTGGGGCTGTTCAGAAATCAGAGATGTAATTTTGCACATACTAGACATTTGAGTGACCCATTTTGGTAGAAATCAAAATTGATTGTGTTTTTTATAACTAGTTTACAACTTTTTATAAGTCATTCTAAAATTGTGTAACGTTTTTAGAAATGACTTAGTACTGAGTTTTCTGTGCCACATGTAAGCATAGGTCTGACCAGACCTGTGAATGACGTCTATATTCTGTCACACAGAGAAAAACTTCAGTCAGTTATAGTGTCAGCATTTTTTAGAGGACTGTATCAGCATTAAATAAAAAAAACACTTTATCCTGGCAATAGATAAATTTTTTTTGGATAGGCAGAGTTAGACAGTGAGAGAGACAGAGAGAAAGGTCTTCCTTTTCCGTTGGTTCACCCCCCAAATGGCTACTACGGCTGGTGTGCTGCGGCTGGCGCGCTGCACCAATCCAAAGCCAGGAGCCAGGTGCTTCTTCCTGGTCTCCCATGCAGGTGCAGGGCCCAAGCACTTGGGCCATCCTCCACTGCCCTCCTGTACCACAGCAGAGAGCTGGACTGGAAGAGGAGCAACCGGGACAGAATCCGGCGCCCCAACTGGGACTAGAACCCGGGGTGCCGGTGCCGCAGGCGGAGGATTAGCCAAGTGAGCCGCAGTGCCAGCCAGTAGATAATTAATACTCTTATAACATTCTAGATATTTACTATTTTATTTCATGAAATTCTAATTTGTATCTCTGGTCTCCGCTTCTTATCTGTAGAGTAGATGTTTGTTTTCTCTGACCCGCTGTCACTGACTATAACAAAAAGTTCTTTTTCCTAAATTTTTAAGTATTTTTTTAAAGATTTATTTATTTGAAAGTTAGAGAAAGAGAAAAAGTGTACTTCTACCTGCTGGTTCACTCCCCAAATGACTGCAACAACCAGGCTGGGCCAGGCTAGAGCCAGGAGCCAGGAGCTTCATCCAGCCTCCCACATAGGTGCATGGGCCCAAGCATTTGAGTCATCTACTGCTTTCCCAGGTGGATTAGCAAGGAGCTGGATTGGAAATGGAGCAGCCAGGACTCAAACCAGTGTCCATGTGGGATCCTGGCATTGCAGGTGGAAACCTGTTACACCACAAAGTTGTCCCCCCAAAAAATCCTTGTTAATGATCCAAGACCAACAATTAGAGCTGTTCAAAGGCACATTTACGTTTTATTTCTGTATAGCCTATACTCAAATAAGGTTTGATAATGAGTAATTTAGCTTATGCTTTATTTTCATTTGGGTTATGCCTTTTCTTTTGGATGACTATTCAAGTTTCTTTTACAGTGGCTTAGATCCGTTAGGAACAGAGAAAGGATCTAAGAATCAGTTAAATTTTGGTAATATTATAGTCACTGTGGTTTGTAGTAAGATGAACAGATTCTGACAGGTGCTTAGGGGGTGTATGGAAAAAGTTTATTGCTATGTGATATATTAAAATTTTTTCTGTTCTGGTCGTTCCTAGTCATAGTGTCCATTTCTGCTGCTTTAAACCCTGGGAAAGCCATTAAAAATTACCCTTCCTGAGGGTAGTTATTGGACCTAGCAGTTCAGCTGCCCAGTGGGATGCCCATGTCGCTTACCGGAACGCCTGGGTTTGAGTACTGCCTATGCTCCCCATTCTTGCTTCCTGTCAACGTACATCTTGGGGGTGATAGCTCAGTTAGTTGGGTTCCTGCTACCCAAATAGGAGACATGGATTGAGTTCCTGGCTTCTAGGCAATTGCAGAGTGAACCAATGGATGAAGGCTCTGTCTCTGCCTCTTAAAAAAAAGTACTAAAAATTGTCCCTGTCTAGTTTTGTCATTAACTTACCAAAATGATAAGCTTTATGAAGTATTAGAATTAGAAAATGGGGAGTGGTTGTTTAGCCTGCTGTACCCCACATCAGAGTGCCTGGGTTCAACACCTGGCTCTGGCTCCTGACTCCAGCTTCCTGCAAATACAGACTGTGGGAGATAGCGGATAATGGCTCAAGTAATTAGATTTTGGGGCCAACGCTGTGGCATAGTAGATTAAGCCTCTCATATGGGTGCCGTTTCAAGTACAGACTGCTTTACTTCCAGTCCATCTCTCTGCTAATGGCCTGGGAAAGTAGCAGAAGACAACCCAAGTGCTTGGGCCCCTGCACCCACGTGGGAGACCTGGAAGAAGCTCCTGGCTCCTGACTCCTGGCTTCGGATTGGCCCAGTTCTGGCCATTGTAGCCATTTGGGGAGTAAAGACCTCCCTCTTTGTCTCTTTCTCTCTCTCTGTAACTCTGCCTCTCAAATAAATAAATAAATCTTTTTTTAAAAAAATAAGTAATTAGATTTCTGCCAACCATATAGAAGACCTTTGGGACGTGAACTGGTAAATGGAAGGGCTGTTTCTGTCTCGTCTCAAGCAAAATGAAAAATAAGGTTAAATTAAAAAATTGTGAAAGAATTAGATGATAAAAAGATAAAGACATAATTTAAATAGAAGACTACGTTCTTATCGGTACTTTCATTGTTAGTTTGCTTTTAATTTCTGGGTATTAATTTATGTCAGAGAAAAAATTATGTATCATGTAACAAATTTGTCTTTTCATTTGTAACAAATTTTTACTTTTGCACATAGGCTTATAGTATTTAGTAAGAGTTTAATAAGATAGCTAGATGTGAAATAATATATTAATTGCATTTCAGCGAGCCATCAGCCAACGAAATTTATTTATTTATTTTTTAATAGATTTATTTATACAAAAGTCAGAGTTACACAGAGAGAGGAGAGGCAGAGAAATAGAGAGAGGTCTTCCATCTGATGGTTCACTCCCCAATTGGCTGCAACGGTGGAGCTGTGCCTATCTGAAGCCAGGAGCCAGGATCGTCTTCCCGGTCTCCCATGTGGGTACAGGGGCCCAAGGACTTGGGCCATCTTCTGCTTTCCCAGGCATAGCAGAGAGCTAGATGGGAATTGGCGCAGCCAGGTCTTGAACCGGCACCCATATGGGATGCTCGCACTTCAGGCCAGGGTGTTAACTCGCTGCACCACAGTGCTGGCCCCAGCCAACAAAATTTAAGACAAGATATAATTTATAATAGCAAAAGAAATAGTTTCTGGAAATAAATCTTAGAGATGTATGAGATATAATATGTATAAAACCGTAAGACTTTCACCATAGGACCTCAGAAAAACCTATATATTCATGCAAGATGATTTTCAATTCTAAGTGTCAGTTTTCCCTGAGTTAGTCTATACATTCAGTGCAATCCTGTTGAAATTTTAGTAGGAATTTTTGGACAATTTGACAAATTAATTCTAAAACAGGAGCAGTGGTTTGAGAAGAGCCAACACATCCCTGGAAAAGAACCTTTCCTTTATATATTAAGACTTATACAGGGCCAGCGCTATGGTGCATCGAGTTAAAGGCCCAACTTGCAGCGTCAGCATCCCATATGGGCACCAGTGCGAGTCCCTGCTGCTTCTCTTCTGAGCTATCTCTCTGCTATGGCCGAGGGAAGCAGTAAAAGATGGCCCAAGTTCTTGGGTCCCTGCGCCCATGTGGGAGACCTGGAAGAAGCTCCCAGCTCTTGGCTTCGGATCAGCTCAGCTCTGGCTGTTGTGGTCATTTGAGGAGTGAATCAACGGAATGGAAGACCTCTCCCTGGCTCTACCTCTCTCTCTACTCTGTCTTTCAAATCAGTAAAATAAATCTTTTAAAACAAATAGACTTCTTAAGCTACCTTGAATCCTATAGGTTAAATTATCAGTGCCATACACAAAAACCGAACAGAACAGAAAGCCCAGAAATAGACCCCGCCTGTATGGAAATGCATGGCACATGACAGATAGTGCTAACTCGGATTTATACCTCACGCGAATCTATTTCAGATGGATTAAGGACTTAATGGGCAAACCAATGGTAGAAAAAAAAAAATAGGGGCAGATGTCATGATTGCCAGGAGGAAACTCTTTCTGAAATGTTGATTATTTAAAGTGAATAAGTCAAAAAGAGTAAGTCACAAACTTGGAAAAGATTTTTGCCGTGTATATAATTGACAAAGGATTAATCTATATAAAGAATTCATATTAATTAGTAAGGAAGTGATCCCATCCTGTACTTGGAGTCCCTGGGGCACAGTGCCAGGCATCTGAAAGAAGTTGTCAGGTGTTTAGGATTCTTTGTTTTGACCTAAACACCCACTCATATGAATGTATCCAAATGGAATCTCTCCCTAGAAGAGAAGGGGCTGTTTGATTAAAGATGCACATTAAAGCAGTGCCATAAAAACACTGTCCAGTAGCAGGTGATGAGTCTTAAAAAAGTACAGTATACCCATTCAGTAATACAGAGCTCTATTACAGTGTTTTTTTTTTTTTTTTTTTTTGGACAGGCAGAGTGAACAGTGAGAGAGAGAGACAGAGAGAAAGGTCTTCCTTTTCCATTGGTTCACCCCTCAATGGCCGCTGCGGCCGGCGCACCGCGCTGATCTGATGGCAGGAGCCAGGTGCTTCTCCTGGTCTCCCATGGGGTGCAGGGCCCAAGCACTTGGGCCATCCTCCACTGCACTCCTGGGCCACAGCAGAGTGCTGGACAGGAAGAGGAGTGACCGGAACAGAATCTGGCGCCCCGACTGGAACTAGAACCCGGTGTGCTGGCGCCGCAGGCAGAGGATTAGCCTAGTGAGCCATGGCGCTGGCCACAGTATTTTTTTAATAAAAGATTTATTTATTTGAAAGAGTTGGGGGGGGGGAGAGTTTTCATCTGCTGGTTCACTCCCCAGAGGACCCCAAGTGCCAGAGCTGAGCCTGGCTGAAGCTAGGAGCTTCATCTGGGTCTCCCATATGGGTCTAAGCACTTGGGCTATCTTCTGCTTTTCCAAGCACATTAGCAGGAAGTTGGATTAGAAGTGGAGCAACTGGGACTTGAACCTCCTCCTGTATGGGATGCTAGCGCTGCAGACAGCATCTTAACTCACTGTGCCACAGTGCTGGCTCCTACAGTATTTTCTGAAACATATCACAACATAGAACATAGTATTAAATAGATGATGACTCAAAATTGTGTTACTGTTACATAAAAATGTAGGGGCAGAAGTGTAGCTAAAGGAACAGTTGTGATTTATTGGGAGATGATTATAAGTGTTTTTGTTTTGGGAATGTCTTACTATGATTACAGTTTGCAAAATAAGAATAAAAAATAGTAGGAAGATGGGTAGAAGTTAAAAATAAATTAACAGAATTTTACAAAAGGGAAAGCATTATTGTTTCTAAAAAATACCAGAAAAGGTATTAAACCTCATTATTAAGCAGAAAATGCAAATTGAAACCCACAGTAAACCCCCTTTTTACTACAGGTTGGCAAAAATTATACTTTAGGGAATAGTATCAAATATTTGTTGAATATATGAATCACTGGGGATATGTGTATATATGTATATATACTGCTGGTAGAGTGTTAATTGTTTTATCCAACTTAAAAAATGATTTGGTATTTTCATTCATGTGGCATTCATGTGTCTGTATAAGAGTGTTTACAGAAGTATTTTTTAAATTTTTTATTTATTTTTATTTATTTATTTTTTTTGACAGGCAGAGTTAGACAGTGAGAGAAAGAGAGACAGAGAGAAAGGTCTTCCTTCCGTTGGTTCACCCCCCAAATGGTCGCTACAGCCGGTGCTGCGCTGATCTGAAGCCAGGAGCCAGGTGCCTCCTCCTGGTCTCCCATTCGGGTGCAGGGCCCAAGCACTTGGGCCATCCTCCACTGACTTCCCAGGCCACAGCAGAGAGCTGGACTGGAAGAGGAGCAATCGGGACAGAATCCAGCGCTCCAACCAGGACTAGAACCCAGGGTGCCGGCGCTGCAGGCGGAAGATTAGCCTAGTGAGCCACGGCACTGGCCTACAGCAGTATTTTTTTAAAGATTTTATTTATTGGCCGGCGCCGCGGCTCACTAGGCTAATCCTCCGCCTAGCGGCGCCGGCACACCGGGTTCTAGTCCCGGTTGGGGCGCCAGATTCTGTCCCGGTTGCCCCTCTTCCAGGCCAGCTCTCTGCTGTGGCCAGGGAGTGCAGTGGAGGATGGCCCAAGTGCTTGGGCCCTGCACCCCATGGGAGACCAGGAAAAGCACCTGGCTCCTGGCTCCTGGCTCCTGCCATCGGATCAGCGTGGTGCGCCGGCCGCGGCGGCCACTGGAGGGTGAACCAACGGCAAAGGAAGACCTTTCTCTCTGTCTCTCTCTCTCACTGTCCACTCTGCCTGTGGAAAAAAAAAAAAAACAAACAAACAAAAGAAAACAAAAAAAATTTTATTTATTTATTTATTTGAGAGGTACAGACAGTGACAGGAAGAGACATAGAGAAAGGTCTTCCATCCAGTAGTTCACTCCCCAAATCGCTGCAACAGCTGGAGCTGAGCTGATCCGAAGCCAAGAGCCAGGAGCTTCTTCCAGGTCTCCCAAGCGGGTGCAGGGACCCAGCATCTGGACCATCTTCTAGTGCTTTTCCAGGCCATAGTGGAGAGCTGGATTGGAAGAGGAGTAGCCGGGACTAGAACCGGCGCCCATGTGGGATGCTGGTGCCGCAGGCGGAGGATTAACCTACTGAGCCACAACACCAGGCCCAGCAGTATTGTTCTTTTTTTTATTTTTTTAAGATTTGTATTTATTTGTTTGACAGGTAGAGTTACAGACAATGAGAGAGAGACAGAAAGGTCTTCTTTCCATTGGTTCACCCCCCAAATGGCCGCTACAGCTGGCGCTGCGCCGATCTGAAGCCAGGAGCCAGGTGCTTCTTCCTGGTCTCCCATGCGGGTGCAGGGGCCCAAGCACTTGGGCCATCCTGCATTGCCCTCCTGGGCCACAGAAAAGAGCTGGACGGGAAGAGGAGCAGCCGGAACTAGAACCCGGTGCCCATATGGGATGCCGGCTCCGCAGGCAGATGATTAACCTGCTGTGCCATGGCACTGGCCCCCAAGCAGTGTTGTTCTTAATAGCATTTTTTCAAAGCAATGCAAGTGTCTTATTAATGGCACAATTAGGGTAAATTCATTATGGTGTATTTAGTCTGCATTCCAGTGACGTTAATGAATTTAAGCCACATGCACCTTAAGCAAGTCAGAGAAGAATACCAGCAGTATGATTTTTAAAAATAAAGTTAAGAACTGCAGAATTACATGATTTATGGTTTCCGAATTTAAAATCTATAGTTAAACTAACGGAATGATAAATGCAGAATTCTGAAGAGAGGTAATCTCTGCAGATCAAAGAGGATGCGGTAGTGGTTACAGGGCACACAGTGAACTTCAGATGACTGTGATGTTCTCTTTCTTAAATGGCTGGTGGTTGTTAAAGTGTATTAATGATAAAAATATTTCATTCTCTTTTCATCATAACTTGTTAAAAGTGTTAGGAACATCTTACCTTTGCACGTTCTTTTTAAAAAGTCATCACCTATTCCTATTTCTCCTCTTAATTAAAGCTTGACGTTTATTTTCTTATGCCCTTAATGATGATTTAACAAGAATTTATCACTTTGGTCATCACAAAGAATTGTTGCACTTTGTTTTCTTGTAGATTTTCCATCGGATATTGCTAACAAGTCTCTCTCGGAGAGCACTGCCACAATGCTGTGGAAGTCCAAAGGCAGAAGGAGAAGAGCATCCCACCCCACTGCTGAGTCTTCCAGTGAGCAGGGCGCTAGTGAGGCTGACATTGACAGTGATAGTGGTTACTGTAGTCCCAAACACAGCAACAGCCAGCCTGCAGCAGGGGCTTTGAGAAACCCTGAGTCTGGGACTGTGAATGTATGTACCATGACCTTGATTTCTGCATTATTCATTGACATCAGTATCATTTTTGCATCCTCTACTAATGCTTAAGTATCTATATTCATTAACAATTTCTATAATAATAGGATGGTTAAAAATGTATATTTATTATTAATAGAAATTATTTATGAAAATATTCTGATTTAATAAGCATGCTTTTACAGTACATTAACTTATTAAGTGTTTTGCAATGTATGTAATGTAGACAGGCTTTAAGTAGAAAATAATTCTTTTCTTTTTTTTTTTTTAAGCATGTGGAGTCATCCGTCTGTGCAGGTAATTATTTTATGCATAGTGTTTTTGGTATACTTTCATTCATGTCAGAATTTCCTTTTTTAGCATGAATCTTACTGATACTGCAAGAAGACATTAGAAATCTTTCAGGGATTCAAGTTATTTCTAAATATAGGTTTGTCAAGCAAATTGAGAAAATGCCAGCTGCGAGTATTCTGCAAGATGACACATATTACTAAGAACCAGTATGTCACTTAAAATTTAAAGAAAAATACATAGCATTAAATTTTGACTGAATTACGTACATGAAGGTAGGGGAATATTTAGGTTTTGACATCTTTTGTAAGTAAGTCTTACACTTAAATCTCATTTGTTACAGGTGGTGTAAATTGGTCCAGTGTAACCTGCCAGGCAACTCAGAAAAAACCTTGGATGGAAAAAAATCAAACATTTTCTAGAAGTGGAAGGCAAACTGAACAAAGAAATAATTCACAGGTAATTTGAACTGGGTTGGAGAAATCTGTGATTAAGTATGAGAGGAATTATTTTAAATGTGTTAATAATAGACCAGCGCCGTGGTTCAATAGGCTAACCCTCCACCTAGCGGCGCCAGCACACCGGGTTCTAGTCCCGGTCAGGGCGCCGGATTCTTTCCCGCTTGCCCCTCTTCCAGGCCAGCTCTCTGCTGTGGCCCGGGAAGGCAGTGGAGGATGGCCCAAGTGCTTGGGCCCTACACCCCATGGGAGACCAGGAGAAGCACCTGGCTCCTGCCTTCGGATCAGTGCAGTGCGCTGGCCGCAGCGTGCCAGCCGTGGCGGCCATTGGAGGGTGAACCAACGGCAAAAGGAAGACCTTTCTCTCTGTCTCTCTCTCACTATCCACTCTGCCTGTCAAAAAAAAAAAAGAAAAAGAAAAAGAAAAAAGTGTTAATAATAGTGAGCTAACATGATGTCTGAAACATTTCTAAGTGGCTTAACCAATAAAATTTATTTAAATAATGAAACAAAATGATAACAACTTGAAAAACAGCATGAGTATATGAATAAGGAATAATGGCATTTCCCCGGTGGTGGTTGCCTGCTGCTGTAATGTGGCCTGATTGGGCAGCTTGCTTCAGGCCATGAGCAAGGTCTAGCTGCAGTGTAGCGAGCAGGCTGCTCATTGCCATGAACTTCTACTAGCTGTATCTGCCTGCACTGGCTGGCTGTGAAGTCAGGGAGTTGTTTATTGGTCAGTATAATCCTTCTAATTTTTTTATATAGACTTCCTAGATTCCTTAATCAAGTTAAGGAATTAAAGCTATCATAGAATAGATTTGTGGATGAACAAAAATAAGAGCTAGTAATTTATGGATTAAGTTTCCCCATGACTTGCCTGTTTCTTTGTCTCCCTGAAAGGAAGTACTTTAGATCTACTTTGGCATTAATTAGGCTGTTAGGAGAACAAACAGAATAATGCCCTCTGCCCTGTAGTGATTGCAAAAAGGAATTATTGTTGTTTGTTTCAGGCTTGTGAGGCAATCTAGCTCATTAAAAACAAAAGAGCAAAAGCAAGAATCATTTATATAGTTTAAACAAAATCTACAAAATGTTTACTTTTATGTGCTGAAATTTTCTGTTGCAACTGTAACTGTTAGTCTTGCTAAGTTTGCAGTCTTGATACCATTTGTGGTATCAGTAGCCTACTGGAGTGGAAATAATACTGAAATGAAAAACATTTTATCTCTGTCTCAAAACTGATAAGAAGAGATAAATTGCAAAAAAAAAAAAAGAATTATGCAAATACATAGGGTATGTTAAGTTTATTTTTATCTCTCTCTTCTTTCCAGAAGTGGATCCAAGTGCTGACAGCATGTTTGTTTTCTTTCCTACTTCTGATGATTTGTTATTCATGTGCTTTTCTTAAGTATATATTTAATTTTAAGATGAATAATCTTTTTATCTTCTTTTAAGTCAACATTTTTCCCCTTTTGAAATTTATGATTATTTTTGGGCTTCAGAAGTCTTCTATAAATCACATATTTGTATTATCCGATGCTTTTTTATGGGGTAATGTTTCAAGACATTTTAATCTGAGATTTATTTTAATGTGTGATAAAATATGATACAGTCTTATTTTCATGCATGATAAAACATAATGGTGTCGATTTTCAGAGCAGTTAATTAGTTGTCCTAACTTTGTAGCCCTTCTTTCCTCTAGTTCACGCTTCCATTTTAGTTATTTGCTAATTTCTTCTGGCCTAAGTTTTGTTTCTGGGCTGTTTGCTTTGTTCCATTTTTCCGATTTTTCACGTATTTCATAGTTTAATTGTGATGATTTTAAACCTTTTCAAAAATCTGTTTAATATTTGAAAGGCAGATCATTTTCTATGTGCTAGTATAATTTTAAATGATGAGGAGAATATAAAAACTGTTTTTTAAAGATTCATTTATTTATTTGAAAGGCAGAGTCACAGAAAGGCAGAGGCAGAGAGCAGGAGCAGAGAGAGAGAGGTCCTCCATCCGCTGGTTCACTCCCCAAATGGCCGCAACAGCCAGAGCTGAGCCGATCCAAAGCCAGGAGCCAGGAGCTTCTCCTGGGTCTCACACGCGAGTACAGGGGCCCAAGGACTTGGACCATCTTAAACTATTTTCCCAGGCCCTAGCAGAGAGTTGGATTGGAAGTGGAGCAGCCGGGACTTGAACTGGCGTCCATATGGGACCAGCAATGCAGGTGGTGGCTTTACCCACTATACCACAGCGCTGGCCCCTCTTTTTTTTTTTTTTTTCTTTAAGATTTTATTTATTTATTTAAGACGTAGAATTATGGACAGAAAGAAAGGTCTTCCATCTGCTGGTTTACTCCCCAAATGGCCACAATGGCTGGAGCTAGACCAATCTGAAACCAGGAGCCAGGAGCTTCTTCCAGGTCTCCCACATGGTTACAGGGGCCCAAGCATTTGGGCTGTCTTCCACTGCTTTCCCAGGCCATAGTCAGAGAGCTGGATCAGAAGAAGAGCATCTGGGACACAAACTAGCACCCGTATGGGATGCCAGTGCTGCAGGCAGAGGCTTAGCCTAGTATGCTACAGTGCTGGCTGCCGGGTTTGACTTTTTAGAACAAATTATACACATAATGAAAACTCATTAAGTTGTGGCACTTTTGTATACACTTTTGAAATATGTTATACTTCATTAAAACATTTACTTAAAAATAATAACGATTTACTTTTCTCCTCTGTGATTTATTTAGGTTGGATTCAAATGTCGAGGACATAGTACTTCCTCAGAAAGAAGACAGAATTTGCTGAAGAGACAAGATAATAAGCATTTAAACTCTAGTCAGTCCCATAGAAGTGACCCAAATTCTGAATCTTTATATTTTGAGGTATTTTTTTCAAACCTTCTAAACTGCTTTAGAAAATGCTTGCATTAAGATATTAATTTGTTAATTTATGAACACTGAAAGTACTTTTTATGTTTTAACCTGTGACTGTACTATTAATTATAAATTACTCAAAAATACTATTTGTCTTGATTATATATATTAGTCTAACATTCACTTCATTAATGTTAATTTTTTATACATTTTTGTAATGTGTGTTCGTTATTTTGAGGTTATGTGTAGAGGTAGATCTTAATTTTTATTGCTATTATTTTGTGTATTTCTAAGATTTTTTAAATTTGAATAATTTAATCTAGTTCATTTGTGCTGCCAGTGAAGGGGATTTTAGAAAGAAAAATGGCTATTGTACTTTCTCTAATAGGCAGACAGTTTATATTCTAATTGCACTGTTTCTTTTGTTTAGTCATCAAACCAACTCTTGCGGTGGCCTATTGTATACATGTAAAATATTCTTTGAATGATACATTAAAGTGAAAGAACATACTATCCTCAGGGAAGTTTATTGTATAGTAGAGGAGTATAGACACGTACACACTTAATATGGTTAGAGTTGAAAGGAGAGACAAGTCACTTGGGGTTTAGGGTAGGGGAGGAATAACATTTGGAAAAGATTTTAAAGAATTAAGGAGAATTTGGTTTTGTCTAGATGTTTTCTACCAAACATCTCCAGTAACTCACTTCAGTAACTCATTTTGAGTGGATCATAGATTGTATAAAATGAGTTAATAGGTGGAGATTAAACTAGAAAGCTCACTTGAGGCCGGAGGATAGAGATTAATACTGTGTTAGATGAGTTAGTACTTATCTTAAGGACTTGAGAGTACATCTCCATTGTTCTATCAGGAATAGTTTTAGGATGTCTGATATGTCTGAGTTTTTGTTTTTGAAAAATTCTATTTATTTATTTATTTGAGAGGCTGAGTGATGGAAAGAGGGAGAGAAAGAAGAGTGAGAGAGATAGCACTCTTCTGTGCACTGGGTCACTCCCCAAATGGCTGCAATGGTCAGGGTTCCGGTTGGCCTGGAACTCCTTCCCAGTCTCCCATGTGGATGGCAGGGGCCCAAGTACTTTGCTGCTTTCCCAGGCAGATTAGTAGGGAGCTGGATCAGAGGTGAAGCAGCCAGGACTCAAAGTGACACTCCAATATGATGTCAGTGTCACAAGCTGTGGCTTAACCCACCATGCTACAACACTGGCCCCAGTATGTCCGATGTTGGCAGTTTTATTACATGCAGTATTGTATGATTGGTTCTATGTTTCTATTTAGTTAAAGATATTAGATACAATTTTCAGTATAAGGTGGGATATTGCTTAAGAAGTTAATTTAAATAGAAATAATTTTTTTACTTTTTAACTTGTAACCCTGTTGATATCTGTATGTAGTTATGCAGGACAGGGAAAATATTTGTAAAACTCATAGACTGTTCAAAATATTTTCTAAATTATCTGAATGTCCATTTTCCATTTCTTTTTCTTTACCTACTCTTGGTATAATTATTAATAAAAAATGGAGTAGTAGATAAAGTGGTTCAGAGGGTGAACACATGTAGGTATGCCCCTTGAATAACTGTCTGTGTTTTAGCATGTGAGGAATGAGATGTCCTTTTTAAGAATAATTAAATGGTAGGATCCAACTTCCCCGTTATTCATTACTGTTAAGCATTGTAAGAAGGTTTTCTAAGAAGTCTGTCTTGAACTCTCCATATTTACTTAAAATGTGGAACTATTTTAGGATGAAGATGGGTTTCAAGAACTAAATGAGAATGGAAATACTAAGGATGAGAATATTCAACAGAAACTCTCTTCAAAAGTAGTAAGTGACTCTTTAAAAAGATAAGCAACATAGAAAATCATTTGAACTATGATTATGTTGAAAGGAAACATTAAGGTAAATTTAAAAACTTGGGAGGTAGCTTCATCTATAGGAAACAGTGTTTTAGTACTTATCTTTAGTATTTCTTTTCAACATAGTCAAAACAAAGATACTTTCCTGTGAAATCCATAGTCCCATACTAGACAAGAAAATAACCATTAATAAAATGGCATCATACAGTATACAGTCTGTGCAGAAATTGTCCCAATTATTGCAAAATTTTACTTTGGTGCTGTTTTGTTGGATTTCGGTCAGGGTTCCAGACAAAATCACCCATTGTATTAAGGTCTTTTGTCCCTTTACTTCCCAATCTAAAATGATCCCACCATCTCACTGTGTTTATGACTTTGAATCTTTTGAAGAGTCTAGTTAAAATGTAGAACATCCCACATTCTGAATCATCTTTCCTTGTGATTATACTTTTATGAGATCACTAAAAAATATTTTTCTTGGGTTGTCATAGTTGGATGATTTACCAGAAAACTCACCAATCAATATAGTTCAGACTCCAATTCCTATTACCACTTCAGTTCCTAAACGTGCAAAAAGTCAAAAGAAGAAAGCTTTAGCAGCAGCCCTTGCCACAGCACAAGAATATTCAGAAATTAGTATGGAGCAAAAAAAATTACAGGTATGTAGTCACTCTGTGAAAAAATGTAGTAGTTTATTTGCTAGGTTTAGGGGGATGGATGGAGGAATAGTAAATATCATCTTGACTTGTTATACTTTTATGCTGTAATAAAAAACAAGCATTTTCATGTTCACCTTGCAGGAAGCTTTATCAAAGGCAGCTGGAAAAAAGAACAAAACGCCCGTGCAGCTAGATTTGGGAGACATGTTAGCTGCTCTGGAAAAGCAGCAGCAAGCTATGAAAGCACGGCAGATTACTAATACCAGACCTCTGTCATATACGGGTAATACATCAGTCTGAGCAGTTCACTGTTTGGCTTTGGTGTAGTTTATTTTGAATATTGATAATCTAAAATTTTTGGCTATATATATAGAAGATAAGAAATATGTATGTATTTTAAGTCAGTTCAAACCATATTCTCCTTGAAATTGCCCATGACCCTTCTCTTTGCACATCCTGTCCGTTCTACCTTCCCAACATATCCATAATCTTAACTACTCACCACATCCTTTCCTGCCACCCTATTAGCCTCTGTCATCATACTATACAGTAGTAGTCTATTAACTACTGCCACCTTTCCTTCCCCCTGATTCTGTTTGTCTTCAAAGAAGTTATCTGTTTAACATACAAGCTGGATTATATTAAATAATAGGTTATAGCCAAGCTGGATTATATCAGTCCACTGCTCAGAACTCTCCAGTAGCTCTTCATGTCATTTGGAGTGAAGCCAGATTCCTAAGGCTATATCTGAGCTGCCCTGAAGTTCTTTACTTTTCGTCATCATCATGATCTCATCTGACACACACTGCCTTCCCCATATTAGCTGTCCTCCAACACACCCTACTGCTCCTAGCTCACTCACCTTTGGACCTGCTATTCCCTCTTCTTGGAATGCTTTTTGGATATCAGTTTTGCTTGTTTCCACAGGTCTTTCAGATCTCTGCTTAAATGTCAGTTGGTATGCATTTTGAACCAAACACATTTCTTTGTTCTTCAGAGGTCGAAATAAAAATCACAAGTAATGTGGTCCTCTTAAATATTAAATTGCCCAATTTAAAACCAAATGACAGGGTCCAGCGCTGTAGCGAGGCGGTTAAAGCTGCCGCCTGCAGTGCTGGCATCCCATATAGGCGCCGGTTCAGGTCCCAGCTGCTCCACTTCCAATCCAACTCTCTGCTATGGCCTGGGAAAGCAGTAGAAGATGGCCCAAGTCCTTGGGCCCCTGCACTCATGTGGGAGACCTGGAGGAAGCTGCTGGCTCCTGGCTTCGGATTGGCACAGCTCTGATGTTGCAGCCATCTGGGGAGTGAACCAGTGGATGGAAAATGTTTCTCTCTCTTTCTGCCTCTGCCTCTCTAACTCTGCCTTTCGAATAGATAAATTAATCTTTAAAAAAAAAAAACAAAAACAAATGACAAGTAGAATTTTGATCAAATTGTGTGTCTGTGAAAGTAATCTTTCTGCTAAAATATTAATTTCTATTTTAGCAAACCTTGTCAGATTTAGAGCCTAGCAGTTGTAGTGTACTCCCCATTTATTTTCATAGTCTTTGTTTTAGAGGGTGACGAATAGGACAAAGAAAAAGGAAAAGCATCAATAAAAAGTGGTGATGCTAAAAGGCAGAATTGAGTTTTCTGTTGTTCTGTTCCCATGTGACGGGATGATGCTTTAATGATGAGTATTAGTATGTAACTTTAAGCCAATCTGCAAAATGTTTAAACCTATAGCTAGTTAACCCACGTGTGTACATCTGTGCTTTGAGTAAGTATTAGTAACGAATTATCTTGCTAAGCTTTAGAGTTGCATGTTGTTGAGATGGAGAGAGTAGCAGTAATGTCAGAGTAAGGACCACAGGGAATAGAGTTGAGAGTTAGTAGTTTAGAAAACCAACATAGCTTCGTAGCTAAAAGCAGGGACCCTGGAGTCAAGCTGCCTAGACTGGAATCCTGTTTTTCCATGTATTTCCTTTGCAAGTTACTAACCTTCCTGTGCTAAAATTCCTTACATTAACATAGGAATAATGGTAGTACCAACTTCAGAATTGTCTTGAGGATTAAACAAGGTGATACATGAGAAGTCCTTACAGGATCCGGCTTATAGTCATTCAGTAAATTTAAACTAATATCGTGGAGAGAGATTGTTAACCTTTGAGTAACTTATCGTTGGAATTTTGATTCATTTAGTAAATGTTAATGTATATGAATGTTAAGTGTCTTTGTGCAAAACGTGTCAGGAACTGCTGGATTACAAAGATGATAAAGATAACACCTTTCGTCAAGAAATTTATAATCTAGTGGAGAGAAATATATAAATAATCAAAAACAGTGTCTTAGGAAAGATAAAAGCAAAGTTTCATGAACTTACACAAGCTAGTGATTTCTGTCAATAGGGAGGAGAAAGATGTTAGAAATGATTTCATGTAAGATAGCATTTGAACTGGTCTTTGAAGAGGGAGTAGGATTCTTGATAGAAATGAGATTAACCTCTTCCCTATTACCACTGTTTAAATTGAAGTGTTGATTGCAAAGAAACGTTTAAGACTATGGTAGCAATGAAAAAGGATTGTAAGTGGTAGAATGTGGAAACTAGTCAAAAATGGCTCCATACCTTCTGACTCGGAGCATCAGGGTGGTCGAGGCTGTGGTCATGCTGTACGAGAAAAATATCACGGCAGAACTTTGTTGGGAAGAACAGATGCTCGCCGTTTTTGAAATGCTAGCAAGCAGTCTTGGTGATTCCCGTTTGGAATGTAGTTAGTAATGTGCAGTGTAGGTTACAAGTCAGTGAGTTCCACATAGAGATGATTGTGGTAGCTCTGGAAATAAGATTATTGGGAGGAAAAAAAGATTAGGAAGATGTTCAGGGGTAAGCCTGTGAAATGCTCAGAATTAAAGGACAAAAGGAAGTAGAACCAGAAAAGACAGACTTGAGAAGAGTAAGAAAAATAGAAGACTACAAAGTCACAGAAGGCAAGGGTGGAATTATGAGAAGGATGTAGTTCTGGTACCAGACACCAAAGAAAACTAGAGAAGTGAAGACTCAGGATTGTATTTGGCATTTGCATGGCTATGTGTGATCTTGACAATAACAGTTTTGAGAGAGTGGGTAGAGTAGAGGCTAGATTTGGGAAGTACTGATGAGAGACTGTTTAGAGTTTAACAAGTAAAGAGCAGGGAGGAGTCGTACCTTAGCTTGAGCAGAAGACTGGAAGCCAGTCAAAGGAAGGATTTTGTTGGTTTGTCTGTTTCTTTCCCTTTTTTCTTTCTTTTAGATGATTTTTTTTAGCTGGTTGAGTGGGGTCAGGGAAAGATCCTAGCAGAGGAGATGGGATTAAGAGCACAGATAGGAGCTGGTGCTGTGGCATAGCAGGTAAAACAGCCGCCTGCAGTGCCGGCATCCCATATGGGTGCCAGTTTGAGTCCTGGGTGAGGCTCCTCTTTTGATCCAGCTCTCTGCTATGGCCTGGGAAAGCAGTAGAAGATGGCCCAAGTCCTTGGGCTCCTGCACCTGTGTAGGAGACCCGGAAGAGGCTCCTGGCTCCTGGCTTCAGATTGGCGCAGCTCCAGCCATTGTGGCCATTTGGAGCATGAACCAGTGGATGGAAGACCCCTCCCCACTTCTGTGTCTATCTGTCTTTTTCTCCCTCTCTGCCTCTACCGTGTAACTCTGCCTCTCAAATAATTAAATAAATATTTTTAAAAATGATATAACAAAAAGAGCACAGGTGGTCAGTGAACTTTGAACAGGGGTAAGGATGTCTGCCACTTCCTTCCATGTGGTTTGTAGGCTTATACTGGAGAACATCTTAGGGAAATGGCAGGACATCTCATCTCTGCCAGAGTGAGAAGATTGAGATTGGGCGCTTAGAAATGTGAAAGGATTAGGGTGGCCACTGGAGAATGAGGACATCGACATAAAAGGCATAAGAAAATTACTGAATCATACCAACAGTGCAGCTAAGGGAGGAAAATTAGCACTCTTTACTGACTGAAAGGAGGAGAGGCTGCTAGGCTCCACGTGTATCTTACATGAATTTGAACAGCAGATTCTGTAGAAATAAGGGAAGTGCAGAGTTTTGAGATTTCAGAGATAAAAAGAAGACCAGTTGCAAGGAATTGCCATGCTTGAGAGTGCCATTGTAGGCTAGAACTACTTATTTCTCCCTACTGTAGGCCTGTAAATTGGTTAGCTGTATAATTTTTCATCTCTTTTGTCTTATGGAGGCTGACAAGATAGATAAAAGCTGTACCTGCTGGGGACACTGTGTAACCATGTTCTACTATCATGAGATGTGTTTTTTCCACAAGAAGCAAATGTTTGTGTTTTTGTAGATTTAAGTTTGGAAACTCTGAAAGTATGTGGCATTGTCCGTAGCAGTTAATGTTCTTGTTTGTTTTTAGTGGTGACTGCAGCTTCTTTTCACCCTAAAGACTCAACTAACAGAAAATCTTTCACCAAAAGTCAGCCCTGTGTGACATCCTTTAATTCTTTGGACATTACTTCCTCTAAAGCAAAAAAAGGAAAGGAGAAAGAAATAGCAAAACTAAAACGACCCACAGCACTTAAAAAGGTAAACCAGGATCTGGGGATGTTTGTATTACAGGATAAACAAGGGTTTTAATTTGTTTTGCAAAAATGGTTGTGATGTAGCAGGCATTTGGTCTAGTGGTTAAGTCGCCAGTTAAGATGCTCGTGTCCCACTTGGAGTTCGTGGGTTTGATTCCCAGCCCCTGACTCTGTCCTTCCTACTCATGAAGAGTCTGGGATGAAGTGGTGATGACTCAAGCAGTTGGGTTCAAGCCATGCACTTGAGAGATCTGGACTGAGTTCTCAGTCACGTTGGCCCAGTCAGTGTTTGCCCTGTGGGCATTTGGGGAATGAACCAGCATGTAGCAGGGAGGGAGGAGAAAAGAAAGGAGAAAAAAAGAAAAAAAAATTATGGTGTTTTAAGCATCATATTATTGTGAAGTGCACATAGGCATGCATCTTTATAATGACTAGTTAATTCAAACTTAGGGATATCATCTCCATTGAGATTGTGTTTTGAATGGAACAAGGCCCTGAACAATGAATTCTTTCTAAAAGGTTAAAAAACAAAACAAAACGTGCTTTTAATATACCAAAACCTTAGCTTTAGGAATTAAGAAGCCCTGGATTTGCACTTCATTGGTATGTATGTATGTAATTTTAGGCAGCCTTTCTTATTCTATTCTTTTGTGTCTATAGATTGGGGGTAATTCCTGCTCTGATTCACTCATTCTTGTTACTAGGAAGATCAGAATGAGATAATTCATGACCAAATAATTGAAAATGGTAAAGTGTTATAATTGGGTGTTCTGGTTCCCAAACTTTCAGATTTATCTCTTTTTGGGAAACTCTTATTTGGCACCCTGGATTTAAAGATCAAAGAAAGTATTGTTTGATAGCTGTGCATTCTGCAGCATTATTGTCTCCCTTTATTTTGTATAAAATATTTTATTCTGCTAACAGTGTCTAAAAGTACATTTCCTTTTGGTCAGTTTCTATGCAAGACATAGCCAGTGAGTATCCTCAGGTATATGTGTAAATGAACCACTATACCTGGGCCAATGCTGTCGCATGGTGGGTTAAGCTGCCGCTCGCAGTGCTGGCATCCCACATGGGCGTTGGTTTGAGTCTTGGCTGCTCCACTTCCAATTCAGCTCCCTGCTAATGGGAAAGCAGCAGCAGATGACTCAAGTGCTTGGGACCCTGCATCCACGGGGGTGACCCAGAAGAAGCTCCTGGCTTCAGCCTTGCCCAGCCCTGGCTGTTATGGCCATTTGGGGAGTGAACCCGCAGATGGAAGACCTCTCTCTCTGTAACTCTGCCTTTCAATTAAACAAAATAAATCTTTTTTTAAAGATATAGTGTGATATAGTGCGCATTGTAATAATTCAGAACATAGTTGAGGAATGATGAGTAATTGAAGACTGGTATACTGACTTTTAGGTTATTTTGAAAGAAAGAGAGGAAAAGAAGGGCCGTTTAACTGTGGACCACAATCCTTTGGGATCTGAGGAACCAACAGAAATGCACTTAGGTTTTATTGACGATTTGCCACAGGAGATTGTTTCCCAGGAAGGTAAGGGGTCCTCTTTCTCCTCCTCTCAGGGAGTGGACGGGACTGTTTCAGTTGATAGATAAACCATCACTCACTACTCATGCTCCTAACTAGAGGATATTTTCCATATTTTCCATAAATTTCTTCATTCTTGAGAGTGGTTTCTTTTGAAGATGCTTTTGTAGGGAGATAGTTAAAGGGAGGGGTAGGTGTTACATAGTAGAATGATGGCATTTTGGGAGCTAAAATCCTGAATTTTAATAAACTCAAAATTAAGATCTCATCAGTGCATGAAAAATTTCCTGGAATTTTTACAACTTTTCAGTGTGTATGTTTTATATTCAGTTATCTTTACTTGTGACTCTATGTTTCATTGAGTCATTTTTGTCAGTGCTCTTTCTTGCTTTCAGGGAATTAATACATTTGCCACAACGAGTAGAGAATTGCAAAGCAGAGTCTAGTTGGTCAGTGAGATTCAGTCACCTACATTAAGAAGCTAGCATGATTCCGGTTAGCAACTCAGCGAAGCTGTGCATTTCTTCTAGTGTTTATACTGCAGTAGAAGAAAGATTTTTCTGCTGGCATACATGTATTTATTCCTCAGTTTTTGCAACACATTTATTTATTTTTTTTACAAGCTACGAATACTTTTATTTTTTAAATGTATATATTTTTAAAAGTGTGTTCATATATTTTTTTTAACTTTTATTTAACAAATATTAATTTCCAAAGTACAGTTTATGGATTACAGTGGCTCCCCCCCCCCATAACTTCCCTCCCACCCACAACCCTCCCATCTCCCACTCCCTCTCCCATTCCATTCACATCAAGATTCATTTTCAATTATCTTTATATACAGAAGATCAATTTAGTATATATTAAGTAAAGATTTCAACAGCTTGCACCCACACAGAAACACAAAGTATAATGTACTGTTTGAGTACTAGTTATACTGTTAATTCACATAGTACAACACATTAAGGACAGAGATCCTACATGGGGAGTAAGTGCACAGTGACTCCTGTTGTTGACTTAATAAATCGACACTCTTGTTTATGGCGTCAGTAATCACCCTAGGCTCTTGTCATGAGTTTACAACACATTTAAATCTGACTTATGTATAGATTAAGCAGTAGTGTTCATTATTTTTAGAAAAAAGTTTACTTCTAAGGATTGTTCACCTAGGACATACTCAGAATTCCTCTTCGCCATGTATTTGGGTGTATCCATGCATCCATCCATTCTGCAAATGCTTATTGAATGAATACACACTACATGATTTTAGTAACAAGAATGGAAGAGTGAAGTTAGAGAATGTAAAGATATATAGTGTACAGGTCCTACTATCACTAAGAGCTTACAGTCTTTCAGGGAGATAAGAAGATACAGGTGTGATTCTTCTCACTAATGAATTAGGTACATAAATCTGAACTCCTACCCTGAGTTTAGCTGTTTAGGAAAAAAGTAGTCATGAAGGAGAATGTGAATGAATGAAGGAGACAGAAGATGAGATCTCAGAATGTGACTTTCAGCACAGAAACAGATTCTTAAGAGACAAGTGGTTGTGGTGCCCAGAGATTTCGGATGGGTATGGAGAAAATGTATTGTCAGCAACAATGAGAATTTTGAGACAATTATAATTCTGGGGGCAGGTGCTGTGGCACAGCAGGTTAAAGCCCCTGCCTGCAGTGCCGGCATCCCATTTGGGGCACCACTTTGAGTCCTGGCTGATCCATTTCCAATCCAGGTCCCTACTAATGTGCCTGGGAAAGCAGCAGAGGATGGCCCAAGTTCTTGGGCCCCTGCACCCACATAGGAGACCTAGGAGAAAGTCCTGGCTCCTGGCTTGGGATTGGCTCAGCTATGGCCATTGCAGCCACCTGGGAAGTGAAGCGGCGGGTGGAAGATCTCTCTCTGTCTCTAACTGTCTCTGTCTCTGTCAAATAAATAAAATCTTCAAAAATAAATTCTAAGGAATAGGTGGGAAAATAAAGGCAAAGGAGATAGGTAATATGATCTAGAAAGAAGTGCAGTTCTTCATGTTGTAGGTAGTTTGGCCTTTTCTTATCTCTTTTACATAGACTTATAGGCTATGCTTGTTTGTTTTAAAGAGCATATTTCAGTAGATAATAGGAAGATAGTATTTTAGTAGTGTTGAGAAATAATTATGATATGACTAATGCCCAACCTTGTTAGCTTCCAGAAAGTTAGAATGAACTCAAAAGACAGCTTCCATTCTAAATTGTGTTGATCAGTCTGCAGCTTTTCAGCATTTGAAGTTTTCTGCATTCTTTCCCATCATCTACTTCTCTACAGATACTGGACTGAGCATGCCCAGTGATACCTCACTATCTCCTGCAAGTCAGAACTCTCCGTACTGTATGACACCCGTGTCACAAGGCTCTCCTGCTAGTTCTGGGATAGGCAGTCCAATGGCATCTTCAACAATAACCAAAATCCACAGCAAGAGATTTAGAGAGTAAGTATTTTACTTTTTAGGGTGAATAGTTGAAGGATCTTGATTGTGGTTCTGAATTTAGTATTGTCTTTGTTACTTGGTAAGTTGAATAAACAAACCACAAAAATTTTAGAATTCTTTCAGGTTTTGTTTTCATAGTTGGTTTTATTACATTTAAAGCATTGCCTTCTGTCAGTGTTTAGTGATTTGACAGTAAACATATTCTCTGGGTATCGGATAGTGTTTTTATCCTGGAAACCTGGCCTCTTGGGTCTTATTTATAAAATGGGGGCAGGCATCTGGTGAAGCAGTGACAGTGCTGCTTGGGACACCTGCAACCCTTCTCAGAGTGCCTGGGGTCGAGCCCTGGCTTCATTTCCAATTCCAGCTTCCTGCTAATGTGTACCCTGCAAGGCAGCGGGTAATGCTTCAAGCACTTGGGTCCCTGCCACCCATGTAGGAGATTTGGATGGCATTCCCAACTTCTGGCTTCAGTCTGGCTCAATCCTGGGTGTTGCAGGCATTTGGGGAATGAACCGGTGAGTGTGAGATGTGCGATCCTTATCTGTCTTTTCGATACAAATTTTGTTTTGAAGTGTTGCTATGAGTTTTACCCCAGCAAATGCTTTTTTGCTTGTATTATTGGCCCTTCAAAACAACCTCTTTAGCCAGTTAATACCAGGTATCTAAGAACCTGTTGCACAGCTATTTTTAAGCAAATGTTCTTAAGTTTTAGAATTGAGATAGAAGATCACAAAATATGATATTCCATGTATGAACAACCTTAAACTAGAAATTATTGTTGTGAAGGGTTCTAGCATTCGTGTAGATGAATTAATTTTAACTTGAAAAATGACACATAGGGGCAAGTGTTTGCAAGCTGTTGCTTGAGACACCTGCCATCTCGTATCAGAGTGTCTGGATTCAAGTCCTGACCCTGCTCTAATTCTAGCTTCCTGTTAATGTGTGCTTTGGGAGGCTAAAGTTGTTAGGTTCCTGTCATTGGGTATTGGTTTGAGTTTCCAGCTCCTGGCTCTGGCATGTTCCAGCCCTGGGCTCTAGTGGGCATTTGAGGAATGAACCAGCAGATGGAAGTTCTCTTTGGCTGTGTGTATGTCTCTCTCTGCCTCTCAAATAAACAACAATAATAAATACAAATTTTAAATGATGTATAAAATAATTCCAGGATGAAAAGTATAATCTATGTGCATCCAAATGGTTTGTTCTGTTCCTTTTCCTTGTACTATTGTTTTTGAGCAAATGCTTCTTGCTTAGCTTTGAGAAGTTAATTAAATGTCAAATAGCAGATGTGGAACAAATGAAACACTTGGAGGGTAAAATGTTACATATGAATGAAGTAAGCAGCTTGAAAGGAAAAAAGGAAGAAAGAATGAAGAAAATTGCATTTTTGAGGTTCTGTTCTTTAATTGCTTTCTTGAATTTTGCCTACCTTATGACAGTTAACCTTTCCAAAGTGTGTCCATTTTTATCCCCTGAAGTAGTATTGTACTTTTTTTAAACACTTTTCAAATAAAACACTAATGAAAGGCATGTATTTCCATGACATAATTTAGAAGTAGGAATGTGGTTTTGTGTTGTTACTAGATTAGAAATTCCCGCAGTTCTCCTTGGTGAGTACTTAGGTACGTGGAGATGAGGTCTGAGAACCAGGGATGGTGGAATGAGTGTATCAGGAGACGTACACAGATGCCTCAAAATGTCTGTAGGAAATAGAATTTAAGTTTATTTTGCTGCAAAAAATCTTGAAATACATCGAAGGAGTCTTCAGAAAGTTCATAGAAAATGTTTTGTGAGAAAGCTACATATGGATTTCAAAAATTTTTTTGCACAGATAAACATAATTCCATTTTTCTGCGAACTTTGTGAAGTATCCTTGTGTACTTGGATGATTTCCTGATTCCTGAAGTAAAATATCATGGTGATTTCCACTTTCTCTTTTTCACATTATAGCCATACATGATCTCACAGAAAGCCTCATGTAGTAGCTTTGCCTGCTGTAAAGGTGTGTGATTTTTACCTCAAAGCCTCTTTGGTTGTTACTTCAGCTTGGTTATTGTCGATAGCCATGTTAATTATAACCATAGCCATAGACTTTATGAGCTAAAGGGACCACAGAAATCATCTTTCCTAACCCTTTATTTTTGTGGTTGAGAAAACCAGTGCTTAGACTTAGCCACACTCAGAGGGTGAGTTGTTGGTGTTAGGACATTCAGGTAGAAAGTACATTTCTTTCCTACTAGAAGCATCTTTAGTATTCATTGAAATGAAAGAATTTTATCTTTACCAAAAATGTTGTGCCTGTTTCTGGCTAATGGCAAGCTATCACTTGATATTTATCTTTAGGAATCTAATAATTGCAAATTCAGATAGTATTGCCCTGAGATTAACCTATCCTTTACATAAAATTCAGTTTGTTGAAATTTAGAAACAATCTATATCTGTTTCTTTTCTATTTTTCTAATTGACTGAAGAAAGATTTAGAAGTATTTTAATGACTTATGAAAACCTCTTACTCTGTATCTTATCTTAAAGGAATTTTCCTAATTTTTATTTTTACAATTACATACAAATAAGTTAGAATGACAGTATATTTTCGGTTTCTTTTACAGGTATTGTAATCAGGTTCTTTGTAAAGAGATTGATGAATGTGTGACTCTTCTTCTCCAAGAACTTGTCAGTTTCCAGGAACGCATCTATCAAAAGGATCCTGTGAGAGCAAAAGCAAGAAGACGGCTGGTTATGGGTCTAAGGGAGGTTACCAAACATATGAAGTTAAACAAGATCAAGTGTGTTATAATTTCTCCAAACTGTGAAAAAATCCAATCAAAGGGTATGCACGTGTTGCTGTTAAAATGTTTTAATATGTAAAATCGTAAGATATTCAAAATTTTAAAGCAGAAACTGTATGTCTTTCTGAGCAGAGTATAGGTATAACAAAATCTTGAGTATGAGAAAATGAAAACATTTTTAGTGCCTGAAATTAAGTGGTATAATTGAGATTGGCTTGTATAGAAAATGCTCATGTATGAACACTAGTACAGGATTTCACTTGGATCTACCAAGTGTCCCCTTTGTTGAGATCAGAGTGGGGACTAGTTGGTGCATTTCTTTACCTCTGTAAATATTTTCTGCTTTAAAAATTACTATGTTAGCTTTGATGTCCCTCTAAACAAAGAGAATCAGACAAAGAGGTAATGTTCTCTGCTTCCACTTACGGTAGAGATTTATCTCTCAGAAACTAGCAATTACATAGATACAGATGTACATACTCTAGGTAGACCTACTCACAAGTACTTTTTACCATGTCACATGTGCTTTCTTGTCCTTTATTTTTGGTGGAAGAGCCACTTTGGGTGATTGGCATAGGTAGATGCATCTAGAAACAGTAGTAAGGGTATGCACAGGGAAGAGAGGCCAATTAAACTATAATGTATCATCTATCTCTTTGCACTGTGGTAGGTCACTACTTGACCTAAAACATTGTGCAAAGGAGTTACATACTATTAACAATTTTAATTAATTTCTTTGTAATACATGTTGAATTAAAATTTGATTCCCACTTTGTTAATCTCTATTGAGAAACAAAACTAGTGGGCTTGAAGGAATTTAGAATTTAAGTGGGAAGAAAGAAAAAACATCTATCTCCATTTACAGTACAAAATCACATAGGAGAATGTGTGTAACAACATAAATGTTAGCATTCATAGAATCCTTTGCCACAGTGTTTTGCTTTAACTGTGGCATGCTCCATTTAGGAAATAACTAAATTAAAACCTCTACATGTATTGATTTTCTCAGGTGGCCTGGATGAGGCTCTCTATAATGTTATAGCCATGGCACGAGAACAAGAAATTCCTTTTGTGTTTGCTCTTGGAAGAAAAGCTCTAGGACGTTGTGTGAACAAGCTAGTTCCTGTTAGTGTAGTGGGAATCTTCAACTACTTTGGTGCTGAGGTAAGAATTTGGAAGACACACTCTCTTGATCTCTCACATATACCCCACAGAGAACATTTTATGTTGAAACAGGGTAGCATTATGTCCATGCATTTGAAGGAGTGATGACTCTGAAAAGAATGAATGGAAAATTTCTTGGGTATTACATTTCCTTTTTCAGTAGTGCAGAATTGTACATAGGTTAATCTTATAGCATTTTGAAAAAATTGTAGTTTATTTTCTGGGCTTAAATATGTAGAACTTGAGAACTTCCTGGTTAAAAATACTCAGTATTATGCAATGTTAAATAATCTTTTCTACCTTTGTGGTGGGGCATATATTTGTGCCATCAGGAGTCAAGAGAGAAAAGAATCTTTTAAATGGAGGGAGTTTTTCCTTTAGAAAATGAAATTCCTGAGCCAGTTGTCAGAATACTTTTGCAGTTCTGACACCCTTATCTTTCCCTGGCAGTCTGCTAATACAGAGCTTGACCTATAGGAGCTGAAAATGACAAAAGTTGTTAATACAGAGTATGAACATCAACTGATGGTGTTTTAAGACTTCTTTGTGAGGTTGATCCTTGGTTGTTTTTTGATGTCATTGACAGGCCATTCCTCTCCTCCCTGGCGTGCTAGTCTGTATATTTTAAAGCACCTGCCCTTTTCTATTCAGTCACTGCATTTGCATACCTCCATTCAGTTTCTCTCTTACCACCCCTGGAATCCTCCTTGCACTTACCTACTCTCCATGAACTTGTAATTAATATTTGTGCTCTCTCATTAGCTTACTGTAGTTTATGTGTATTTCTTCCCCTTTAACTGCGAATTACTTGGGGGCAGATCCCTTGTCTTTGCATCCCTGTGACACCTTTCACATCCCTTGAGCATGAGCATACTGTAAATGTTTCTTGACCACTGTGATACTGTATGTCTGCTGGCTGTGTGAACTATATGTGGAAATTTGGAGATAAAACCCTCTGTGGGAAAGAAAGGTCATATTTATAAAGACACACAAGCATAATAAAAATGGATTAATCACAGTCACTTTGTTTTCAGAACCTGTTTAATAAGTTAGTCGAACTCACTGAGGAAGCCAGGAAAGCATATAAAGATATGGTTGCCGCGATGGAGCAGGAGCAGGCTGAGGAGGCCTTAAAGAATGTGAAAAAGGTACCACACCACATGGGGCACTCTCGGAACCCCTCCGCAGCAAGTGCCATCTCCTTCTGCAGTGTTATTTCTGAGCCCATCTCTGAAGTAAATGAAAAGGAATATGGTAAGTTGTTACATGACATTTTAAATTATGTAGAAATGAAACGATCTACATGATTCAAATGATTTGGTATAGGTGTTCTGCTACCTTTGGTTCTAAATTTATTCAAATTTTACTCAAAGTTTTGGTTTTAAAAAATTATGTATGTCCTTGAAAATGAGGTCATATTTGAGACTAAGACTTTCTGTGAGACCTGGAATTTAATCACAACTTGAAAAAAAATCCGAAAAACCCCAAGAAGCCTTCAAAAGAAGAATGTATCATACTTGTAACATATCACTAGTTAAATACTAGGAAGTTTTATTCTAATACTTTACTTAGGAAACACAAAATTTTAATAATAAACTAAAAACCTCAATACTATTCAGTCTGAGCTTGGAAAACCTAGACATGTGACATTTGCTTTGAGTTAAATCTAGTTGTAGTCAAAAAGAAATAAGAGACTGGAAACAACATTTGTATTTAATGTTTAACTTTATTTTTACTTCAGTCTGTGGCTTAGTAGATTCCTTGCTTCCTGTAACACTTTGAACTCTTTCTCTTTCTGGATCTAATTTCCAATTTATTTCCCCTATAGCCAAAGTTTTCTTTTTGGCCCCCTATTCATCCTTCTCTTCTTTTCTCTCTCTGGAAATAGCCTCATCCAAGCTATTTCCAAATAGCTTGTTGCCATCTAAAACCTAATGTGTACAGACCTGAGTATTCCTGCTCTTCTGCCCTCCCTAGAATTTCCTGGCCTCCTTGTCTGTGATGACAGTTACCTGTCTGGAATGCTTTTGATAAAGCTGCAGACTGGAGGCAATTGACACTTTGCTGTGGGATTTAGGAAGCTGTTGGGTGTTGGATAGGTGTTCCTGGGATACAATTTCTTTTCCCAGGTTGATGCTAGTTGAAAATACAAAGAAGACAAACAGAAAGCACCAACTTTGTAAATAAGTTCTCTCTGAAGAGTGAAATGCCATATCTCAAGGCAAGCAACAAGATTAATCATAAAGCTTTGGATTTGGGCAGTTGACACAGTGACAGATAATCTTCTATGGCCACATGTAAAGAAACGTAATATGAAGAGAAACTCGAAGATTTAGGAGATATTTTCAAAAAGCACCGGATTTAATGTGTTCAAAGGGTGAAGCCTTGTTTTTTTCACACTCTGCCTGGAGGATTTAGATGAAATTGGTTCATTTCTGGCCCTCAGATTTCTTTTCCCCCAAAAAATGGTGGGAAGGAAAAGACAAGTACATTTAAAATTTAAGAGAAATTTATGGCTAATTTTTTTTGCTACATAAGTATGTTTGTGAAGATTTTCATTTAATAGGTCCCTCTGCCCCGTCCCTAGCACTTACTATACGCCCCACCATAGGGAACTAGAATGGGAGTGAGGAGGGATGAGAGGGTGGAAGAGCAAATGCATGTAAAAAATGGCTGTGGGAGTTTATATTATTGAATGCCTCTTGGGAAAATCAGGGAAGACTTAAACAAAGAGCCTGGCATTTAAGATGAGTAGGAGTCTGAAGGGGAAAGGAGGAAGATGTGTCTGGTCCAGAATGAACAGTATAGACTGAAGCCTAGCATACGTTGTAACTTCAAGAAGCCGGGCGGATTCAGAGACACACTAAGTGTGGAATCCATGGCCAATGGTCTGAGTGAGATGGGACCGAAAGATAAGGAGTAGCTCATGGAGCGCTTAGCTGTGCCAAGTGAAGGAGTGTTAGTCTAGGGTGAGAGAAAGCCAGTTAGATAATGCCGTGAGCAGTTCACAGCTCCAGCCTGGAAGATAGTGCAGATGCACAGCCAGATAAAGAAGACCTGAGCTAAAGCAGTAGTGAGCAAACGGAGTAGTTGTTGAGCTATTCATGGTGTGGTTTATTGAAGACTTTAGTGGAATGAAAAGTATAGTAAGAAAGAAACATAGGATCAAAGATTACTGTCAGGTTTCTCCTGCTTTGAGACTTTGTAAATGATACTGCCATTGAGGATGAGAATAGAGGAGAGATTTTATTTTCATGAGGTAGGAATGAGAATAGAAAGGACCCGTGCTACACTAAAGTAGCTACAGGAAAGAAAGGTTTCTTCCAAACTGTGTGCCCTTACTTAGCATGCCAAAAATATGGCCTGTGTCATTATACAGTACACGGGTGATAGTCAGGTGAGATATATTAATGTCTATAGTTTTGCTTCTGTCACTATAGCCTGATAAGAGGATCCTGTGTAAAATGCAGACAACAGCTGGAGAACTGTACTGATTCCTGGTACTTTATTTTGCTCTATACGACTTTCCTAACATTAAAAATAACTTAGATTGTCACCACTGGGTTGTAGCACTTGTTTTGGCCCTCCACAATCACTTTGTAATCAAGCTACTTAGAAAACACATTTTCAAAAATGTTAGAAGTGCACGGATGGGTTATTTGCTTGTAAACACACATCCATTATGGGCCAAAAGACAGCTTGGATCACTTGTTCAGTGAATATGGTACAAATCCATGAAATCAGAACTGTTTTCACTGGACTTGTGGCTCTAGCATCTGACAGTGTGGGTCCTTGAGGATAGCACACCGCTAGACTACCAAAAAAAAAAATTTCATTGATTTTCTTGAATCTATGAATTTGTATGTGAATGTCAGCAAGTTTCTGTTGCCATCTTTTGCTCTATGAAATATATATATTTGTCTTCTTCATCTTGAATGTACATTTTTGAGAGCTGTTTTCCCTTTATAACATTTAAACTAGTATTCGAATAAACTGAATTTTTTTAGTTTTTCCAATCAGTTGTTGAGCCAACAAATTTCTATATTTTGTTCTTTTCTCATTTGGGGGCTTTTCTGGCTTTTAAAAATCTGTTTGATATTTGTAGAAACAAATTGGAGAAACATGGTGGAAACTTCAGATGGACTGGAAACGTCAGAGAATGAGAGGGAGGTTTCCTGTAAGCACAGCGCATCTGAAAAACCCAGTACACTGCCATTTGACACAAGCCCTGGTGGTAAGCAGCCGTCGTCAGTGGCTGCAGGCAGTACTACCTCAGCTACAAACCCTGGGAAATCTGCAGCGAGCGATAAAGAGGAAGTGAAGCCGGATGACCTAGAATGGGCCTCGCAGCAGAGTACAGAGACCGGCTCTTTAGATGGCAGCTGCCGAGATCTTCTGAATTCCTCCATCACCAGCACCACCAGCACTCTCGTACCTGGAATGCTCGAGGAGGAAGATGATGAAGATGAGGAGGAGGAGGAAGACTATACTCATGAACCTATTTCTGTAGAAGTGCAGCTCAACAGTAGAATTGAGTCCTGGGTCTCCGAGACACAGAGAACTATGGAAACCCTGCAGCTTGGAAAAACCCTTAATGGTTCTGAGGAAGATAATATAGAGCAAAGTGGAGAAGAAGAAGTAGAGACACCCGAGGCACTGGAGCCGGGGATGGACGGTGAGGCCTGGTCTGCAGACCAGCAAGCCAGTCCAGAGCAGCAAAAGCGGAAGCCCAGCAAGAGCAGCTCCGTGAACAGAGAGCACTTGGATTTTGATTCTTCACCCCAAAATACGTGACTCAGGAAGCGTCGGCTATCTCCAGTTGTGTAAGGGTTGCAGCCATTACCTTTTATGCTTCATCTCAACATTTTGCACTGTCTAGTGTCTAATATATGTGTTTAATTCCTGATAACTATTTTTGTAGCTTTTACCTGTTTTGTTACGATCTATAGCTTAGCTTTTAATTAGCATCTAAGTGTCTTTCTAGGAACTGTGTGGAAAATTCAGATCTGTTTCAGCTTATTTTGTAATAGAAGATAATGATTAAAAAAGAGGACTAGGTTTTAAAGTAAATAAGTTTAAAACTGCCTATTTAAAGTCATTTTGAAAGCTAAAGATCAGGGTTGTAAAAGGATAGAAGCAGTCACCAATATGCCATCTTCATTCTGACTTGTCTGACCTAAAAGTTGTGGAGGCTTCTTTAAAAAAGAACTGATGGTCAAGTCAGAAAACTAAACAAAAAACTGAGGGGAACCAAGTCCCACAAAGTATTTCATGCTTAAAAAACAAACAAACAAAAAAAAAGCTTGGCGCAAGTTTTATTTGGTTCACACTTGCTTGTTTCAGAGGTCGCTGGAGACTGTAGTCCATTAAAGTTGGGATAGGCTAGAGCAGAGCCTCCAGACCTTTGGCCAGCAGTGGAGCCTTCGTGGTAGATGGGAGCTAGCTGGCGCCACTCATGGAAAGCAATGGATGCTGTCTGTCACAGTGAACAGTCACTCAGGATGGGACCTGCCAGACTCTTGTCTCACGTTTGCTTCTCACTTACCTCAGGAATGCTCTTGTACATAGTCTTATTTACATGAAGTTAGGCAAAGCTTGACAGGTGAATAACTGTAACCAGTTGTATGACTGCAGCACTTACATGTAAACTATCCAGAAACAAAGTCTTATACTGGTGTGTTCTTTTGCATGCTTCTGGTTCAGGGCCCTCTTGATGTGAGATACAGATTTGATTGAGTCTCCAAACTTGTCTTGAGTGCAAAACCAGTTCTCTTTTTTAAAATATATATTTTGCGCCTAGCCTTGAGCTCCTTTCACATTATAATGACCATAGTTCCTGACAGAAAGTCAGGGAAAGGAATTTTGCACAACTTTTAACATGAATCCTAATAATCAAGGCTTAGAAGAAGAAGGTTGAGAAGCAAAGAGAAAGTTGTCTAATTGTGGTGAAAGTATTAGATTTAGAGTATACAGATATATGCAGATATTAATTCTTTATTCACTATTATTTATCTCTATCCTTCTCTAGGAATGTATATACCTGTTTGGGAGGAATTAAACTTACTGAGCTAGATGTTTTATTTCCTAGTTAGTCACCACCTGGACTTTAGTGATCTACCTAAGTTTATGTAGTGGTGGAAGAGTTATAAATTATTTTCTGTTTTCCCTCCAACTCTCCCTTTTCCCCAACAGCTCTCTACCCCTTCCCACACCCCCCTTCACCCCAAACCCCCCAACGCACATACCAGCTTCCCACATACAAGCTCCCATAAGCAGGCACAAAAAGGAGGAGGGAGGGGTATGCTCCCTGCCCTGGTTATATGGGGCAGGGCTTTGCCTCACAGAGGCAGGAAAGACGTTGGAAGATTCTTTACTGAAATCCTTGGGACTACTGTGCTAGTTTTGATGTTTTATACTGCAGACATTTAATTACTGGAGAAATTGGATTCTTGGTTGATGATGATTTAGTATTTGTGGATTGTGAAAGTTTAGGAGCATAGCTGTGTAGAAAATGTCAGCGTATCAACTTTATCAGTGTGCCGAGAAGGGGACATTATTACACTGTCCTGTCTAAACTGTTCTCCACTTCTTACTTCCTGGGCACCAGTTATCTAATACTTGAGGGGACACAGCATGTAAGGAATGAAGCCTCTGAAGTAGTGATCATAGATTTATATATGGCAGATCTTACAGTCTGTACATTTGGAAGTATTAGTTTAAAGAAATGATAGACGTTTTGAACTACTGACAATCTTTAAAATAAATTTTAAAACTTTTCATACTTTTTATGATGTAAATTTCCTTTGCTCGATGTCAGTGATTCAGATAACTCTTGATCTTGAGGTAATGGCTTTTCAAAAGTTTCTTATATTTTATATCTCTTCTGAACATGAATGGCCATTTTAGATTTTTGACATTTGTATCAAAAAGAGAAGTTGAGGAAATCTTCAGAACACCAACACTGTTTACTCTGCTGTAGACTTCAGATTCAGTGTGTTCAATCAATGTTTTCCCACCTGCAGTACCTCTTCTGCCAGCAAATCCAAGGGACCACAGCCTTTTTTGTATGAGACCGGTCAGCTGTAGAGCACAGCCCAAGATTTACTAAAGGAAGTGCTACTGTGTTGAAAGTGTGCTTAAATAAGTATTAATAATAATGTCTTTATAATTTGTTTCCTTTAGATAAATTTTGGAATTTGTGTATATTGAATTACAGGCTTTGGAGAGGCATGAAAATTAGGAAATTTTTTTGGCTTGTTTTTGCAAGTGGGTGTAGTGGGCTCTTTGGAGACCCAGGAAGAGATTCGGTGGTAAGAGTAAGGTATCATCATCACAAGAAATAAAAAGCATAGTGATTTTTTTCTTAGTCTATAGAGATTGTTTTACTGGCAATAATTAATACTAGATTTCTATTTTAGCACATAAGTATGCAAATTACAATATAAATTACACCCCCAAAATTAGATTTCTGCTTCAGTAGGTTTGTTTGTTGTGAAGATTACTTCTCAAGACAAATGTTCATATTAGCTTAATTTTCGGTTTAATGTTTGTAAATGATGTAATATATTTCTTTTGACTAAACATGGGAAAATAACGTGTGTTATACATTGAAAAGTTTTTACAGGCTTTGACTGGAGGTCATTTTTTGCAGAGATGGTATTTTATATGCTTCCAGTATTTAGAAAAGAATTAGTCAAAAGGAATTCACATAGTTTAAATATTGAGAAATTAATATCCAAATAATATACTTGTCTGATTTCTTAATAAGCTAGGGGAGGTGGGTGGGATGGGAATTGTAATGTGCAAACGAGTAGTAAACTCCATATTCATTTTCAACTCTTTAACGTGAAATCACTCAATCTTAACAATGGTTACTTTAATATATGTATAAAGAAGTATTACTGTTTCTAAGGCTGCTGTTTGCTTTAAAAAAAAAAACAAGCCCTTGTCATGTAAGTATTTTCTGTACATTGTGCCAACAGGTTAGAATATTAATCCATATGAAAACTCTGTTAACTGTTTTTGATTTGAAGAATTATCTCTGAAATAATTTATTTACAGACATCCTCCTCTTCCCTTGTCCCTCGCACCCTTTACATACATCACAGAATCAACCAAATTGTTTGTCTAGGCCGAATCCTAATGACAAAAATTTTAACTTTGTTGGCACATCCCACCTTAAAAGTATTTGTATTATTTTGTAATTTAATTTCTAAATAGATCATATGAATTTATAATTTAATATCTTCATTGTAATGTTCTAATAAAAAACTAGTAAAATTAGTGTGAGTTATGACATGAAGGGATTTTCATCTTGTTAGTTCTTTTGCTCTATGAAGGATAATTGTTATTTCACATTTGGGGGGTAACAACAGCTTTTTTTGCACTATGTAAATACCAGTGGGGATTCTTCTGTACTAATAAAATGATTATTGAAAAGTAATCTATCATTTCAGAATATTACTTAAAGCACTAACGACTTACCCAGTGTGTAGGACAGAGGAAAACATGTCCGCCGTGTAGTGTTTATTATTCAGTGCTTGCATGGGTTTCCCGAAGGTTGAAAAATCTGCAGGAAGGAATCAGCAGTACAGCTCTGCATGTGTGGTGACTGGTGTGGTCTGCAGCACAGACCTGGAAGTCGACCAGAGCCCGAGCAGATGGTAAGAGAAGGCTCCTATAGATCCCTCTCCATATTCTAAGCCGTTTCCCAATAGTGGTAGTTCACTTAAGCCTTCTAGGAGCCTTATAGATGCTGCTAACTAGTTCTCAGTTTTCAAATCAAAAGAATTGTGCAGATACAGAGCAACTTGCCCAAGACCCCACAGCTGTTAGACTCAAACCCAGGCCTGGTCCAGAGTCCATGCTTTTAATCACTGCTCTTGTGTCTCAGCAGAAAGAACTGAGATTCTGCAAAGCAAACATTCTTCCTCCCTTTCTTGAGGTGTTTTCTGGAATGTGAAGTGTGAGGACTGAACTGATAGGTTGACTTCACCTGATGACTCTTTCTTGAGAGTAGTCCCGGATCTTGTCACTACGTCACATTGAAATGTCGAGGATCTGAGGTGACTCATCTGTTAGAAAAAACACTAAATATCGTGATGAAGGAAATTTTTGGTGATCATAAAGAGGAGGGGTATCTCATCCATTGTAATAGATATTCCTTTTTCTTTTGTTTATTTTTATTTTTATTTTTTGACAGGCAGAGTGGACAGTGAGAGAGAGAGACAGAGAGAAAGGTCTTCCTTTTCTGTTGGTTCACCCCCCCAATGGCCGCTGCGACCGGTGCACCGCGCTGATCCGAAGCCAGGAGCCAGGTACTTCTCCTGGTCTCCCATGCGGGTGCAGGGCCCAAGCACTTGGGCCATCCTCCACTGCACTCCCGGGCCACAGCAGAGAGCTGGCCTGGAAGAGGGATGACCGGGACTAGAACCCCTGTGCCAGCGCCACAGGCGGAGGGTTAGCCTATTGAGCCATGATGCCGGCGATATTCCTTTTTCTTAATGTTTGTAACACTCCCTGGATTTGTTTTCTCAATAGTGATCAGTTTTTCTCCTAACTGACCAGAAGAGGGTGTGCATGGCACCTGAAAACAGTCAAAAGCTACAATATAATAATTTTTTTAATGTGTGGATAGGGAAGGGAAGTATCCTAACCTGAAGGCCTTGCCATAGAAAGTACACTTGCTGAGTTTAAGTTCAGATCTCAGGAACCATGCCCATGGAGCTATCATTTCATTTTAGAAAGAGAACACCATCAAAAGACACTGAGACCACTGTTGAGGATTTAGTCATGTGACATTTCTAAATTATTTTGGCAGTTCAGTCAATGGCTTTTGGCTTACCTAGATTCTTCTGATGTTACTGATAGGAAGTATGATCTCTGTGAAATATTTGTTCATAGACATCAGTATACCACTGTTGTCTTGAGGATCACAGGACCAAAGCATACTCTTGTAAAATCACAATGCAGGATTTGGAGAAATGGGAGATGTTTCTGTTCCAGGCCCCGTCTGAGTTCTTACATTCCTCCCTATTCCATCTTGACAGGTGGTAGTTAAGAAGAAGCAGGTAATAACCGGATTTGTAACGGTGGGGCTCTAATTGGAGGTACCGGTTGTGCTCTTGTCTACCAGAAGAGTGTTATTCATAACAATGGCACCTCCTCAGTAAGCATTCAGCTTGAGAACAAGATAATTGAAACCTAAGCAGTTACTTCTGTTCTGGTTGAACAGAAATGAGAGAATAGCTTAAAAGTACTGGCTTCTCAATCCTAGGAAAAATGTTAGGTGTCTTTATCCCTGTCATGTTCTTTTCCTTACTTCCCCCTTTATAAAGCCAATGTTGTGAGACAAACAGCTTGTAACAAATGCTGTAACATTTGTAATTAGGAAAATAAAGCATTATGTTCTTAGTTTACAAATATTCAAACACGATGATAACCAAGAAAGATACCACTATTGCTTTCATTTTAACTCTTTTGCCTAACACTTAATGACATACAGTTTGAACTATTTTGTAATCTTTTAGGTAAGGTGATCTGATCTTTGCCTTCCTCTAAAATTGAGGTACTGTCCAGCCACACTTTACACTTGTGATTCCCTATCCCTGTTTTTTCTTTTTTTTCTTATAAATTTCTAGAGAGGATGCATATGTTACGGATTTACACATTAAAAGACACATTCAGCTCTGCCCGGTGGTAGAATGATGTCGATGCCCGGGAGGATCACCGTCAGGAGCAAACCTAGATGCTTTGTTCCAACATCCTGGAAGCCATGGGCTCTTGTATTTTTACTTGTTGTTGTTGTTGCTTTTAAAGATTTACTTATTTATTTGAAAGAGTTACAGAGATGCAGAGAGAGAGATGTCCTCCATCCACTGGTTCACTCCCTAGATGGCCACAATGGCCGGAGCTGCACTAATCTGAAGCCAGGAGTATCTTCCGAGTCTCCCACGTGGGTGCAGGGGCCCAAGGACTTGGGCCATCTTCCACTGTTTTCCCAGGTCACAGCAGAGAGCTGAATCAGAAGTGCAGCAGCTAAGGACTTGAACGGGTGTTGCCCATATGGGATGCTGGTACTGCAGGCAGTGGCTTTACCCGCTGTGCCCTGGCCCTCTTGTTTGTTAATTGTGTACTTGCTCTGTACCATTGGGCAAGTCCCTTGAATGTCTGGTTTTTGGTTTCCTTTTCTTACTGATGAAGGATGTAGTGGATGAGTCAGTTACAAGACCCCCAAAACTTGGTTCTTTTTAGGGAAGTTGAAAAGGCTGAGGTCAGGGGTAGGCACTCTCTTAAGGCTAATGCAGCCCAAGACTGCAGGCACCTTCAGGTGGCCTGGTACTGAGAATGGGTCATGCTAATTAAGACAATCGCCTTAGTTCCCTTGAAAATTCAGGTTGAAAAGTGCAGTAAGCACAGGTTTGCAGAGAAAATAGCCTTTAAGAGCAAGGAGCCTCCTTTTATCCTGAACGCTTTGCATTTTTAGACTTTGCCTATGCCTTTAATCGACACTTTTAATTGTGTGGAGCTTTTTATGTGCTTAGTAAGAGTAACCAAAAGGAACTGACCAACTAAAAGGCAAACCGTTTTCTTTCTATAATTGACTTCCCAAACTTTGCATAGTCTGACTTTTTAATACATTGACCAGGAAAATTAGTGGTAGAAAGAGAATTAGAAGCCAGGCTTAAACCCTTACCTTGATTGATTTGTCACATGTCTACTATTTACTAAATAGCCAAGAGCTCCAGCTACAGTGTTTATCTTCTTCCCAGGAAGAAAACTGTCTCCCTTCATTCTTCACCTGGCCTAACCCCACAGCCGAGGCTGAAAATGACTCTCACCTGTCTGCTCTTTAGGTCTAGCAAGGTGCAAGGCGCTTGTTTCCTTATCCTTTGCTCAGGATAGAAATTGAGTAAGCTTGATCATGGTGCCTCTGGTCTGTTCACAGTTGCTTTACCGCTTCAAAGACTTTATTTTTCACCGGCTATTCATAGTAGCACACTTCTAAAAGAGCAGCTACCTGGAATATAATTGAAGCAGAAGCTCTAGACCTGGATCCATAGTCAGCTTCATGCTTGCCAGTCACAATGGCCCTTATCTCCAGTTCATGGAAATTCTGACCAGAATTCCAGAATCTGAGAAAATTTTCCGTGGCCTTGTAACTGGGACTTGAACCAGCACTCATATGTGGGATGCCAGAGTTGCAAGGGGTGGCTTAACCCACTGCGTCACATTCCAGCCATGTGTTAGAATCTCTTCATTGCAACAGGAACAGCCAGTTAACTGATCCTAAAACCACTGATTGGTTTGGGAATCCTGAAGCAGCTGATCAATGCTGGGCCAAAGGGTTTTTCCCTTGGGATTTTTGGACTTGGGGCTGAGAAAGGTTGCTTAGTTTGGGGTACCAGGATTTTAAGAGTGAAATCTATAAATCTTTGGTAGCCATGAGGTCAGACGTGTTGAACAGATTAGTTTACTGTCAGAAGTTTCAGATTCTCCAGGTTCCCGATGCATTCTGACTGGATGAAGGCAAAGGTTTAGTGTGTGTCGGGCAGCATTTCCCCAATGTGTTGGGCCATGAACATGACTTTTCCAAATTTACTTGGTCACAGAGCGCTTTTTTCTGTGCAACAACCACAAACATCCTGGGTACCTAACTAGTTTGTTGTGTACTGTGCATCGAAACCTGCTGTTTTAAGACTGAAGGTGCAGAACAGGACATTCAAGAGATACCTGGACTGCTTTAGTTCAGAGATTCTCAACCAGGGGCAATCCCCCCTGCTCCAAGGGGACAGCTGTCTGGGAGTGTATTTGATTGTCAAAACTGGAGAGAGTGCTACTGGCACCTAGTGGGTAGAAGCCGAAAATACTGCTCAACATCTTGGAATTTGCCAGACAGCATCCATTTCCCCCACAAGAATGAATTATTTGCCCCAAATTTCAGTAGTGCAGGGTTGAGAAATCTAGCACTCACTCAACACTGGGATGCTGTATTAGTCCTGTGTAGGTTTTAGGACCCACCCCAGTAGGTAGACACATGCTCATATGATTTCATCATATGCTTTGGACTTCTGTTTCTGGTGCATGCTTAGCTATTCCCGAATGTGTCAGAGTGGACTTGGCCAGATACATTCTGATCTTCTGGATAAAACAATCCTTTATTTTATAACTTCCTGGCGGGGAGAATGGGGAGAGTTTGACCAAAAGCTCCTGCTCACATGCCAGTGCCTTCCATGTCTCCCACTAATTTTCTCCCATCACATGGGCAAGCATGTGAGGAGCAAAAGGGCAGGGAGGCACCCCTGACATTGCCAAATGAATGTTCCAATAAAAGCATGAATCAAGTGCCAACAAGAGGCCTGAAGAATGAGCTGGTCTGGTCCTGACCACACAATTGAATCAAAGAGTGGGGAGGGCTGTTTTGTAAGACAGCATGAGAGCTCA